TAATTATAAAATATTTGTTGTAAACAGATATAGCCCCTGACATGAAAGATACACACTCATACCGGATTTTTAAATTTAACCTGCTCCTTGCTTCTTTTTCCTTCATTTTGTTTTTTGTGTGTGTGTGTGTGTGTGTGTTTTGTTTTTGGAAAGCCTATAATGACAGAGTAACAGTTTTCAGGAATACCAGAGAATTACTTCTGCATGTCTACAGAGACAATAAAACAATAGTGATGAATGCTTAAGGACAAAAGATTCTTGGATTTACTGTTGTTTTTTTGCTCTAAGAAGCCATCATCTTAAAAACAGAGTCTTGTTTGGCAGTTTCACCACCTGAAAAGCATTAAAGAGTAAAAGAAAGTGCAATAATCTCATTTTGATGACCCTATGAACTCAGACTTACAAACAAATATTTGAGACATTAACCAAATCACCCATATTGGTACATCCAAGTGCTATAAAAAGCAAGCTACATGCAAGACTTCATTAATAAAGGCAGAAAGTGACAGGTTAGACATCCGAGTTATGTTGTGAAGAGAGAGCACACTCATATTTACTTCAGGAAAGACTTAAAAATCAACATGCAAACAGAGGACACACTTGTCACGAAAGAATTTTTTAGCTCACAAGGTCATCAATTCAAAACAATTGATTTCAACACAAATGTAAGAACAAACGTGTTTAAAGTGTACCAAGAAAACAAAACATATCAATACATATTTTAAGCTTATCACATGGCTAAATTATGCTTCTAGCAATATAACTAATTACTTAAGTCATAAAGACAAACACAGTATTTTAATTCAGAAGAGTATGTTTATGTACAGATCTTGAATAAATCTGTATTCCAGGACTTCTAAAGATGGGTAGAGTAGTCTGGGAAATTCAGTCCTGGCTGGAGGCTATGGGATACCAGCACCATTTTCCTTAAACCATCAACATTTTATTTATGAAAAGATGGCATTTAACCTTTGCAGAACTCTTCTCTACACCAGACAGGATGAAGTTGTTTGTCCCTGTACCTCTCAGAAATACACATTAGAAAGGCCACAGAAGTCAAAAGCCCTTTTCAAAAAAAGGGCCTTTGTATATACTGGTTTGATATATCAAGAAAAGGAGTGGTTTTGGATTCATAGATTAAAATGTGTCATTTTAAGGCTTTTGAAAGGTTAGCAAGTTGAATTTTTTTCTTAAACTACAGAGCCTGTGCCACACAAATGACTATGGAAGATTAGGAAAATATTCCATTGAATGTTTCTGCAGAGTATCTTGCTTTGTGTGAAACATTGGAGAGGAGGACATAGCAACAATAAATAATAAAAACATGAAAGATAAAAGAGCAAAAGCTTTGGAGAAAGTACCAACCTGCCATATGCTTAAATCTGATTAGTCTAAACTTGTTCACTTCAGTGAAGAAAGCTGACTTAGGCAATCCATTCCTACTCCTTTGTACCCCATAATGCATATTCTACAAAGAGTAACATTTTATTGACAGAAAAATGATCACAAGAGCTATCAAGGACAGTGAGCTATCAAGATCAGAGGGCATCATACAGTAGAAGCCAAAAGTTCGACAGTTTTAGTCTTGACATTTCAGATGAGCACCCTGTTTTCCAATCACAGAAAGACCAACCACCAAACAGCCAATGCAAGAACCACGAGAAAAGACATCATGAAAGGAATACGAGGAGATGGAAAAGTATTAGAGTAGAGGTGGCACTTTTTGAAAGACTTGTGATCCTCAGGGATTGGAATAGAAACCTTGGGAAGAACTTCTTCATTTTCTTGCTGGGGCAAAGCTCTTTCAGTAGATCTCTCTTGCCTTTTACTTTTCTCTTCATCCTGTACTAACAGAGCACGTTCCTGTGTCTGCTTTCACGGTAGAAGATCAAGAAAGACAGAGAAAGATGAACAAAATGACAGATGGAAAATGCTTAAAAATGATACTTGGGGATGTGCAAAGGATTTGGGAAAATCTTTTGGACACTCTATTTTATTTTGACAATTTATCCCAGCAAAGTTTTTATAACACAATACTCAAAGATAACTTTTTTGAATGAACACTAGAAGTCCTGACAAATCAAGGAATCACTGGACTTCCTTACAGCATTTATTCCTCCTTTGAGGATATTCACATAAGAATTTGGGTCACTTTTCATTGTTTTGGTGCTGTCAATTTTTCTTAGATCAATTGGGCAAAACCAATAATGAAGCATTCTTCTTGCCATCAGAAAAGTTACCTTTATTACAAATAGAATGGCAGAATATAAAGTTACCCTCATATTTCTTCATATAGATTTTAAAAACGAACAGTTCATTCAATACGGCAATTAGCTTTTGCTCAAGGGAATAAAAACCTTAATCCTATACATTTTAAAGATTGCAAAGAAAAAATGTAAAAAATTTTATGTGCCTCCGAGGTCTATCAAAAAACCCCACTGAAAACCAAAACCCCACAAATTTACAATTATAAACTACCTTCCCCTTTCTCTTGGAATTATGATTAAAAATAAATAATAATGACCACCATGAAGGTTTATAGATCACATTAGGCAAATACTTTTGATACTTTTAAGGAGAGTTATTTTTTTACAATTGTCCAATTGTTAAGTTTTTCTCAAGTCCCTGCTCCCCGCCCCTCGCCCAAATTTCTGTACTCTGCCATCCAGTCAAGATAGATGTTATCTATGAAAGGAAAAACTTGGCTCTAAGTTCTCTCAGTTGAGCCAGCCTTCTCGGATCAGTTTGGAAGGTCGACACTGGTTCTTTGCACACCCCTAAGTGATATGTATCAGGGAGAAAGTAGCTGGGGGACTGGTCAGCAAAAAAGAAAAAAAGGAAAAGAAAGGATGCAAAATTATAATAATGATTTTTAACAGAAAACAAAGGGAGAAGAAAGACAACATAAAAAGAATAGGGTACAATTAAATTCATTTTCTCTCTGAAAACATATTTACATCTGCATGCAGCTTTTCAACCAGCCATGCGCCAACATAAGCAATTTGGAAGCTGCAAAAGCTGCAGCAGTGGAAATGTTATGTGTTAGGTCAAAAGGTGGTGGGTGTGAATTTACTAGTATCGCCAAAAGAAAAATAAATTAGCCGCTGCTGTTCAATTCTGGGGCATTATCTGCTTAGTGCCATGGCAAGAGCAAATTGTGATCGAGAAGCACAAGTAACAGCAGCTTTACCTCTGGCCCACCAACCTTTCTTTCCGAGGGAAGGACAGAGGTTTTCTTCACCTGGTCATACACAAATTATAAAAATTCAGTTGCTTTGCAATGCAACAACAATGCTGTCAAAGGTGGAAGAGGTATCCCCAGAGAACAGAAATATTGTTCTAATTATTAAAGAAAAAGTAAGATATGCCAGAAAGTGGAGTTATCCTATACAAAAGGTTATCACAGTACAGTTCCTATTTATTCCATTATTCATTTAGAGGGGTAATAAACACAAACATAGAGCTAAAGTTTCACAAGTATCCCCAATGATGTAATTTAATTTATAAAGAGTCACTTCTTTAAAGTCCACAGAATGACATAGCCATTCCCCAAACCAGTCCTGAGATGGTTTCTGAAGGGTTTCTATCAAGATATAAGATATTTTCTGGAAATGGAGACTGATTCAAATTTACCAAACCTCATCCAAGAGAATACTCTTTACTTTTTCCAAAGTAGTTGAGCATCTTTTATTATTTGCACAAAACCAAAAAGAAAACTTCTAGGAAACATGCAGTTACCAGGCGAGATAGAAACGCATTTTGTCCACGAGAAAAAGTCAGTTCAGGGGACATTCGCTAGATTTAGAATACAAAACTACGTCCATGTCCTTCAGGGCATGGAGGCCTCGAAGACAGTGAACAGGAACAACTGCATCCTGCATCCCTGGTAACTCTACTTAGCTGCCCATCGTTCAGGATTTTTCCACCCTTACTCAGTGAAACTGGTTTGACTCCATTTAGAGAATCATTAGCCAATTTTAATCACATTTTGAAAAATATAGAAAGTACCGTTTGTAAACCAACTTTTACTATCTTCTCCAGTTCCAGAAACTAAATAAGTTGGATAGTTTATCTTAAATTCTGAATATAAAAGCAATTTTTAAAAATTATTAAGATATCACTTTACCTTTCTTAACTAGAATTGCTATTGCTTTGGGTGGGGGGGAACAAGCGTATAATTTAAAGATCATTACAGTCACTCAGCAAAGTCATTGTGACTATTTATATAAATATTTAGCTCGGCAGGCTAAAGATTAAGTAAAGAATTTTTGAATATATGCTCAAGGTAACTTTTAGACATTTTCATTACACAGATTCATTTATTTGGGTGTAGAATTTCTACAATAGGAATGACAACAATAACAGAAAAAGAATAGCTCCTGGAAAGTATCTCTGGTTCCTCTAATTGTGACTATGTTATAAAGCAGTGTATTAAAAGTTTGATATTTCTCATAAAAATAAAATAAATCATCAACAGTTTTTCTAAAATTGAAATACAATAATTTAATACTTGGTATTCTGCATTCGCTAGCTTAGGGGCCTCCTAGGTTTATTATATAATTGTGGTCAACCATTCCAGACATTTTTAAGTTGTTCAAATGTTCAAATAAAGTTTTCAAAAAATGCTTATTCCTTTCTAATTTTGACCTTACTAAATTTAGTGTACTCTCTGGTCCTTGAAGGCACAGTTTGAACATAAAGTTCCGTTGGCTTATGGTCAATTTGTAAACACACACTAGCCAGAAGCATGCAGCTACAGAGAGAGTTCTCAGACCCTAATCATCTACTGGTAGCTCTAAGTGGCTCCCTTAATTAGACTGGGTGGTCCAAATAACTTAAAAAAACCAGTGTTTGATTACGAATGCCTTAAAGCTACAATGAACTGGTGAGACACCAAAGCTAAATTTCAGCTCTAAACTTTCTCTCAGATACAGAATATGAATATAAAAAACACTTATTTCACTAATTCTCATAATTGGTCACATGAATAAAGTACTCACTCCTTCTCCTGTTGGGATTTGGCCATTGATGTTAAGTGTTCGGAACGGGGAGTGAGTGGATAAGCGTTTATCCCACTCACTAGGCCGTGGTTCAGGTACAGATTCCATGAAGTTCTTTTTCAGTTCACTGATGCTGGCATGATGTTTTTTGATCTCTTCTTGACTTTTGTCTAAATCCTATAGTTGTAAGGGTAAAGATGCAAAACAATAAATATTCAGAGAAAAAAAAAGTACCAAGGGAAGCCCATCACAGATTATGAGCACTGGTAGAAAACACACCACATCCAGGGATAGATATAACTAACCCATAAATTGTATTCAAATTGTAAATATACAACATGGTATAATTGCTTGCCTTTTTTTTTTTCAACAAGGTGCTTTTCCTGGAAGCAGTGAAGCATCAAAACCCCATAGCACTTAGCAGTTATATAACCCATTAGAAGCTCACTCAATTTTACAACTCTCTTCCCATTATGACACAGCGCTAGATCTCCAACTCCTCATCCCAAGAAGGTAATCCCATACTCAATTAGCCTCAGCTTGATATAAACTGATTTAGGCTCAGCTCAGGCAGGATGGAGATAGCAATAGACAAGGAGAAACTGTTAAATGAAGGACACGGTGAAAGATTCAGTTTCCATCACTGACTGCCTTGCATTGGTGAGTTGCAACTGTACAATATTCCTCTATTTCTACCTAGAGATAGTTTTGCTTCCCTATTATTTAGTGGCTGTTGTTGGTTTTTAATAAACAGGAATAGTCCTTTCTTGATATAAGAATTTATTACTAGTATATAAATGTTGATTCTCTAAGTTATACACCTGAAACTAATATAATATTGTATGTCAACTATAATTAAAAGAAGAAAAAAAAAAAGACTACCTCTCTGTGAGAAAGTGATTGGCTCCAAGATTACAAAAAAAAAAAAAAGTTACTGAAATTTCAGGCTCAAGCTTCCAGAGCAGGTTGTTACTATCTCTGAATATTTACTTGGGGGTATGTCATATAAAGGCTTTTTTTTTCTTTGCCAATACTATTCATATAAACTAAAAGGCTTATGCTTTCCAGCCTCTGACAGCTTCACTTTATCCCTTAGTACAATTAAAAAATAGGGGCCTTCTTCTACTAAACGTCAATGAATTGGGAGTGATTTAACAAGAGTTCATAAAATAATTTATATACCTCCTTGACGATTTAAAATACCTCAACTGTTCCAGCAGATGTGCATACTAGACAACCAAGGGTAGGCACTTAAAGGGCATATTCTAGGAAGAAATGATCAAAACTAAGGTTGGTAAAGCTTGTAATAATGAGAAATATTAGGTTTAAGAAACGGGAGGTATATAACAACTTTCAAAAGGGAGATTTGGCCAGAAATAATCTGAGAAATACAACTTGAAGACAAAAACTCAAATGTTCTTTGCCCAAATTCTTCTCTGAAAAAACTCAAAAGATTTATACTTGAGATCAAAATATGTGGGAGCCTGTCACTTGATGGCTGCTAAAAATTCTGTGTTTGTTATATATCAAGGCAGCTCTGTATCCAAGAAAAGCATAACACTAAATATATCTCCTAATATGCTATGTGAATTTTGGGATTTGTCTTTTTTTTTTCTTTTTTACTCTTGTGGGGAACAGCCTCATTTGGAAAAAAATTAGAACTCATTGAAATAAAAATTTGTTTTAAAAGTTTTTTTCTGCAGCAATTTAGGCTTCAACTACATTAGATATTTTTCAAAAGCAGTGTCAAAGGGAAAATAACAAAAATAGCATAGGAAAAAAGAATCAGTAAGGCACATGACACAACTTTGATTCTGGAGATATTCATTCAGTAAATTCATTTAGTAGTCCATGCTTTTTATTTTTGCAAGAATGAACCATGTAGCCCTAGCCGATTTAGCTCAGTGGATAGAGCGTCGGCCTATGAACTGAAAGGTCCTGGGTTCGATTCCGGTCAAGGGCCCATACCTGTGTTGCGGGCTCGATCCCCAGTAGGGGGCTTGCAGGAGGCAGCCAATCAATGATTCTCATCATTGATGTTTCTATCTATCTCTCCCTCTCCCTTCCTCTCTGAAATCAATAAAAAAATATTTTTTTTAAAAAAAGAATGAACCATGTATATTTGATTTGCGGTCATTCAAAGAGAAAACTAACCCCAAAAGGGCAATCCTGTAGCTCCCCTATAAGAGTACCTCTTGCTTTCTGGGATGAAGTGTAAGTATAGCTCATGAACATGGGCTTCACCATGGGGAAACAACAGTTTGCACTTTTGTTCTATCTGAAAAGGCATAAACAAGCTCAGTCAAAGACTCTGTAGTAGGCTGAGCATCTGAACCCACCAGGCATGTAAGGACCTGTGACACAGGACCTGACTGGAAATTAAATCTGCTCGGGCCAAGAACAACTTAACATTGGGGGAGAGTTAAAAGAATGAATGGAGCAAAATATAAATGAGCAAGAGATGCTACGGTAAAACTATGACTCTCTAGGTTAACCTTTTAACACGGGAGTTTGTTACTCTTCTTGCCTAGCTTTTCTCTGGCTTGGAACCTGAGAAAATAAATGTTTCAATAACATCAGTGGTTTCTGAGGGAGCTTTCTCCATCCTTCTTAGCTGGCTGTTGGAAACCTGTGGGGGCACAGAGTAAAATTAAGAGCTCAAAGGGACCCGTTCCAAATAGAATTTGTCATAGACACTTGCTACAGGTTCCCTCTGGGAGATGGAGGAGGAGGAGGCGGTACATCTAAAAATTAACCCGACCTTATTTGTGCCAGAACAAAGCATTAGTGGGGGTAGGGTAGTAGAGGGAGGAGGGACGCTTAAAAAAAAACCCAAAAACTGCTAGAGTGACAGATAACTTGAGAGAATTTCCTAAGAGGGAAAAAAAACCACACCCAAACTTTTATAATAACTAGAGAATGATGGTTAGCCAAATTACTTTGGCTGTTTTCAGGTTAGACACTTTTTGATGCCTATCATATTTTAATTTTAGCAGCAATCAAACCAAAACACTTCATTAAATATAAAATATTCTCAAAAGGTAGTTAGTAGTTTTAATTTTCAAGCACACACTTATTAGAAATCCCCTCTCATGGCTGTCAGTGAAATGCTGGGGAAAAACACACCACACACAGGGACTTTATGAGTCTCAGAAGCCATAACACACCTCATGAAACAAATGACAAATATATGATTGGTACTGCAGGTTCCAGTTAAGAGGAGGCCACGAAACTGGCATGTTTGGAATTAGGAGATGTTACATTGCTGAGCTCAAGGAGATCAACTGAAATCAGTTATTTTTCCTAATCTCAGAAGAGGAACCATTCAGGTCTAGTTTTAGTTATGGGCTAAAGCAAAGAGATCTAGTTGCCACGCTTGAAATATCCTAGGGTCCAGCTTTGGAAAATCTCATGCTACATGAGGTAAATGTATGTAGAGCACTTGATATTGTACCCACCACATAGTACATGATTAATGAAGGCTGGCCATAACTTGTGTTACTTTCATCAAAGTACCTTATACATAGCAGGCACTCAAAATTTATGTTTTGACAAAGAATAAGATGAGCTTAAGTAATTATTAGAGACCATTACATTAAATCAGTGATCTATCCTAAAAAGTTTCTTTAATCTTCCAGATTAATAGTATTGACCACATTTAATATATGTTCATCTTTCAGGTCTCAGCTAAAATGCTGTCTCTTCAGAGAGAGAACTTTCCTATCCATCTTATTTACAGTAGATCCCTTTTATTAGCACAGCCTGTAGTTTATTTCCTTCATCGCTTCTATAACAACTTGTAACCATTTTATGACTATCTGTTTACTTGTTTATTGTTACTCTCTCTCCACTTCCTCACACTGTAAGCCTTCTGAAGGCTGAAACCATGTTCATCATCTTCCTGTATATTTATATTTCCTTTATAGCTAAGTTAAATCCCTGATATCAGAGTTTGTGGTTGTTTCTTTTGGCTCTGTTTTGAGTGGAATTGTAAAATAATTTGGTCATCAACTTCTATATGAGTTTTTTGATGTGTAAACTAACATAGCCTCAGTTTTTTCTCTATACAGAATAATTCATTTCCTTATTTTTTCCTCAGAGTTCTCAAAATCTTCTAATTAACTTTGTATCCCTATCCAATATGGAGCCCAAAACTAGATAAAGTATGCAACATAACTCTGATAAAATTCTCACCAATGTTGACTGTAATGGGAAAATGACCTTACAATTGCTTTAATCGACGGTATGTTGCTATTTCTTAGTTGGGGGGCGGGGGGGAGTAGTGTAATAGAGTTAGACAGGTCTACCTCAAACCCTAGCTTTACCAATTTACCAGTTCTGTGACCATATGGAAATTACTTAATTTCTCTAAGCTTCAATTTTCTCATCTTTAAAATAATAATCTCATACCCACATACCTGTTTTTATGATTAAACCATCTTAGGTCATAGTAACTACTCATTAAATGCTAGGCTCCCTTCTTTCCTTTCTGTGTCTTTTCCTTCCCTTTGACTGTCCTTCCATCATTTTCTGGTATCTCCAAAATTTTAAGTCCATTTTGAATTGTGGTCATTTCTCTTGCTTTTCCACACTCAGTTCAGAAGATAAAAAAATTGATGCTTGGGACATGTAGCAGTTTATACTCTTAGAAAATTCAATGAATTTTTTTTAAAAGAGATGTACAATTTTCTAAAAGTGGGTAAAACAATGGAACCACAAGAGGCAAAGGTATTCCCAATCATATATTTTTTAGATAAGTATGAGAGATGGAAACTAAAAAGAATCAGGTGAGATGGTTACATATCTTTGTGTTTACCAACATGCAAAAGCATTTTAAACCTAAAATTCTCCCATGCAATGGCATGCAAAACCAAACGCAGCACAGAAAGAAGAAAGGGGCATCAGCAAAGAATGCAGAAAGTTACAGGCAACCAAATGAAATAAGCTTCAAGTTCATACAAACCTCCAACATTAAATTGCTATGTCTGATATAAATGTTTTCACCATCTAGTCTCTCTCTCTTTTTCTGTGAAAATGAAAGAGGGGAAAAACAGAAAAGCATAAAAAATTAAAATACTGTTCTTGCGGGGAAAAACTGCAAATTGGCAAACCAAAAATTGTTTAAAATTAAATGTCCACAGCGCAGCAAAGCCAACATGAAATGGTCACAGAACCACAAGGACACACAGAGAACACGATTACCACTGGGAAATGGATGACCTTGTCCATGAACGATGGAAGAATGTGATGATGTTATTTAAACAGACAGTGCTCCTGGCTTCATTGGCTTCTTACATAATAAGATGTTTTATGTTCATTTTTTATATTGAGCTGTTTGAGGGGTTATCTTAACACATGATTTTAAGAAGCATTAAAACTCCACGTTCCTTCCTGTATCTCTGGAATAGATAAATACTTTAAAACATTATTTAGCCCTAGCCGATTTGGCTCAGTGGATAGAGGCTCGGCCTGTGGACTGAAGTGTCTCAGGTTCCATTCTGGCCAAGGGCACATACCCAGGTTGTGGGCTTGACCCCCAATAGGAGGCATGCAGGAGGCAGCTGATCAATGATTCTCTCTCATCACTGATGTTCCTATCTCTCTCTCCCTCTCCCTTCCTCTCTGAAATCAATAAAGAAATATATTTTAAAAAGCATTATTTAGTTTTTTGACATATTTCATACATACTCATAATGCAATATGTACATCTCTAATACTTTTCATAAGAAAGATCTATTGGCATTTTATATATGATCATTCAATATTATATTCAGTAGAAACTGATTCATCTCACTCTATAATTGGGAAGAAAGAGGCAGAGCAGTCAAACCCAGTCACTAACAGTACTGGGAAATGCTATGATGGTTTCCATAATAAAAATGTATACAATATTGCCAACGATTTCAAGAATATGGTGCCACTGTGAAATATTTCTTATAAAATTTAATAAAGGATAGGTTTGGCCTTTGCTAATCATTTTACTGTGTTTCAAAAGATATTTTTCTACTGGAAAGTTTATTTTAATGAAATTTTTCAATTATAGTATAGGATTATAATGTCTTTTGTATCGTGTGTGTGCATATATGCATACATATACACCTATCTTTACTTGAAAGTAATTTCTGATTAAGAGAAATCAATGAAAAGAATGGATCACTGTCTTTTTAATGCACTGTAAAAGTCAGCATGGGTGATGCTAATGCAGTTTTGTGAAAGTGAAAAATGGCTAACCTTCCTCATTCTTATCAGATCTTCAGTTTTTTCTGCAAGCTTCTGTTTTGCCATTATTAAAAAAAAAGAAAGAAAACTGATAAAATATTGGCTCATTAAAGTTAGTTGGAACCTTAATTTAATTTAATTTTTTTAAGGAGAGGGGAGTTGGGGAGAAATAAAAATTGAGGAGGGAGGGGAAAAGGAACAAGTGGCCTACTGGCACAAACCTGTGTTTGGTCACCATTTGAGGTGGGTACTGTGACCTCGATGTGGGTTTTTTCCCCCTACATTTAAGAAATAAAGTGGTTAAAAACATTTTAGGTGAGTAGGTTCCTATGAATAGCATTATTTTCAAAAAAGCCGCATCTGTAAGCTGGTTGTAAAATAAGTTGATATGTAATCATCATGATGCAGCCTTTAGGGGGTGTAAGAGGGAGGGTCATTACTCTCAAGGGCAATCTGTTAGTTCATCACATTTTCAAGGCTGAAGAGGTAATATGGACAGCAAGTGATCAGAAAAGAAAACTAAGGTAATTATCCTACTGATGAACATTTTATACTTATTTATAAAAAAGTACGTACTAAAAATAATTAGGCTTAAAAAAGCCATATGTTTTTGTTTTGCTTTTTAATGATCTAGAGGTACCTTAAATAACATTTAAAAACAAATTTACAAATGAAGATACCAATGTATGACATACATGATAGTTAGAAACAAAAAGAAAATCTTTGCAGTTAAAGCACACATATAACACCAAGCAGGTAAATATAAAACATTTTGTTAGTTGACCAATATATTTAAGGAGGCAGTTTCACTCTCGAGTTTATTAGACAACAAAACATCAAAATAAACTTAATCCAAACTGTTACTGATGCATGCAATTATTACTAAGGCTGGTTTATAAATACGCACACACAGGGCTCAGCTGCAGTATTCAACATTCTATAATCTCCTCTCTAGGCAGCTGGAGCCCATCTGTTTGGTGAATGGGTAAGATTCATCCTTAATACTAGGAAGAGAATAACTAAGGCCTCCTGCCTAGCTTTGAAATACCTTTAGTAATAGTCATTTCATATACCCCAAATGGAGTAAGTATAAATAAACAAACACTAGACAGACTATTAAGAGAAAGCATAATAAAGTGAGCAATGCCTAATGCACTGGATATCTCAAAATTAGAAAACTGTTTTTATTAAGGGTCAACTCAGATACTTTGCATCAAGTTCTTTAAAGAACCAAATCGATCAGTGGGTTTATTTTTAACACACTTGGCAGCATAACTTCAGAGTACAATGTCATTGTGCTATTTTCTCTAGAACATAAGATAACACCAAATCTTGTGACCCTGTCAAATCAGAAACACATCCATAATAGCACTTTTAACTACCAAGGGTAATTAACAATTTGGGTCAGTTCTATTCTGAATCCCAGTATACTGGTTATGTGACCATTAGCAAGTTATTTCACCTCTCTGAGTTCAAGTTAGTTTAAGTTTTTTATTGATAAAGTGGAAATGATATTTTCATAGACTTGTGAATGCTTAGCAAATGGTAGTTTTTAATCATTTTGTAAAGCTTAAATTACTTGTGTAAATGAATAATTATATTTTTGCTTTGGGTTCCTAGCAATCCAACAGCAGAAATTGAGAGCCTCTACTTCGTTCTAAGAATGGAGGCCAAGTAGCAGCAGTAGTTCTGTGTATGCTCCCTACAGAGAACCTTAAATGACAAGATGTACACACCTGCAAAACAGGTCTTGTCAAATGACTCAAGATGCCAAAGAGCTCTCTCTATCTGGCACCAAATTAGTGTTAGATAGTGAAATTTACACAGCTACAAGACTACTTTATTACTGTTATTGCTTTATATAAAAATATGGCTCAAGTAAAAAATATGACTCAAGTAAATTCCATAATTATTTTTTAACTGCTACAAATAAAATCAACTCAGAGTCATCCTTAATTCTGTACTATATTATAGTAATAGGTGGTTATCACAGGTGGTTTTCAGTCTGATCTCAACACAAGTATCTCAAAATAATATTATACAGAATTAATTGGCAAGAAGACCTCTTCAGGCACTTAAATGGGGACCATATACCAGAAAGCGATCTCTCCACTCTGCTGAGGTCCCAAGAGCAAAGGGAACCTTTCTTGAAGATACTTGCGTCTGCTTATAGGCAAAGGAATCTTTTGTCATTCAAAAAGATTCCCTTGTCAACTCCAGTAATCCAACACTTTCCAGTTAGTATAACAGAAGTGCCAGGTAAGAGATCGTAACTTTAAACTGGGTAGTCTAACATGAAAAAGGCACTATTGACATTGAACTGGATGGCTGGTGTCATGCACATTTGGCTGGTACAAAAATGCAAACACCCATCATTCAATCAAATGTTTTTTGTTTTCTCTCTGGACTCAAGTTGATCTCAAAGGACAGTAAAAACTGTATGTTGTGTTGCACAGTTTCTTTTTAATACCATCAACGCAGAGCCAACTTGCCCTCTGCTCTACAGATAAACTAGATGTTGAACTGACTCCAAAAGAACAAAATTAATCCATCTGCCAAGGTGAGAGCACTTACTAAGGTCTTATATGGTTTTAAATTTCTAAACAGACATATAAAGACATCATTTTTCTTATAAAGACTGAGTCGATTAATTTCTGTTGTCAAAAGAGAGATTTGTATTTACTTCAATAAATCTGAACTAGCACCTCAACTCCCTCACCACTTATCAACACATAAAAGATCAGCCCAGTTACTGTTACTCCTGGAAAATCTGCTAATTAAATTAGTAATTTTTCAATACGGTTTGGTGACTAAGGGTACAATCAACTCAGAACTATAAGTCAGTCAATAGCATAACCTCTCCCACATACTGGATCTTCCCCTTTTTGGAAAGCAACAACCACATAGATGCAATTTATGTAATACCTGGATAATCTCTGGCTATGTTACACACATATCAACTTAGGGAAATCAAATTGTATTTTTATCACACTAGCATGGCTTACTCTTAAAAAGGAATACAGATATTCCTTCTGGATGAGTAAAACATTTTTAAAAGCAGATGATCACAGTGCTGCCATGTTTTATGGACATTATTATTATTATTATTTCTTTTTTAGATAAAAGCTGAGTTAAGGTTGGGTCATGTGAAAACTTCTGAATAGCTCACAGTCTTCATGACATTGAAAACATTCTATGAAAACATTTTACAGGTTCACGGAAGATACTTTCTTTAAGAAAGAGTAAGGGAGAAATAACTTTGTAAGGATTCTATAGGAATTAATGCTTTGAAAACCTTCCTGGTCAAGCAGTTAACACCTCTAAATGGGAAAGTTAATTTGCCAGATACGTGGACTTAGGACATACCTTCCACACTTCTGTGGGCTCTGGCTCAGCTTGCTCAGGTGGCACTTCTTCCTTTTTCACTTCAACCTTCTCTGTTTCCTTCTGTGCTTTAGAAACCACTGTTTTTTTGGCAGGTGCACCTGGCACACTGCCTTCTGTGTCCTGACTCTGAGCAATGGCCGGTGCAGAAGTGGGCCGAGGACTTCGGTCTGTTGAATCGACAGCCGCTGTTATGTGAGAAAAGGAAAAGAGAATAAGTGAAGGCAAGAGTCACTGTACCACTTCAAAGTCACCAGGTGACCATATGAATGCTACAGCGTCCAGTGGACTATCACACAGAAGGTACAAAAATAAATCATTAGTACTGCTCAGCCAGGTAATTGATGGCAATAAGAAAAAAACTAAAATGTGCAGGTGATCATGTTCCATTAACAGGAGTCAGGGGTGGAGGTGCTGACATCAAAATAAGAAAAGAAATGGAAAACTCATTTTATTAAAAAGTTACCAAGATTGTGTAACTTAGTAATCTGTTTGTTTCAAGAACCTGTAATGCAGTCTATGTAGAAAAAGAAGGGGTTTAATCAAGTCTTATTTCTTCCATGAAGCCTCTTTGAAATAAAGATCTATGCCCGGCTGGTGTGGCTCACTGGTTGAGCATTGATCTATGAACCAGGAGATCACAGTTCGATTCCCAGTGGGGCACATGCCCGGGTTGCAAGCTCAATCCCCAGTAGGGGGCATGTGCAGGAGGCAGCCAATCCATAATTCTCTCTCATCATTGATGTTTCTCTCTCTCCTTTCCTCTTCCTCTCTGAAATCAACAAAAATAATTTTTTTGAAAAACAAGTAAAGATTTATTCACTTATAGGTAATTTCAGGAACCTAAAAGTATATTCTAGGAAAAAGGAATAAGCTCGATTTCTTCTGTGAAGCCTCCTCAGAATGATTACAAAATAACTCGGTACATGGATCTTTTTTTAAAAAATATATTTTATTGGGGTTTTTTTACACAGAGGAAGGGAGAGGGATAGTTAGAAACATTGATGAGAGAGAAACATCGATAAGTTGCCTCCTGCACACCCCACACTGGGGACGTGCCTGCAACCAAGGTACATGCCCTTGACCGGAATCAAACCTGGGGACCTTGAGTCCGCAGGCCGACGCTCTATCCACTGAGCCAAACCAGTTAGGGCAGTAAATGGATCTTTTAAGACAGTATGCTTCTGATGCTTGTTTAAGGGTAAATCTTTGAACACAACACTTTCCTTTTTAATAAGTCATGTGATTAAAATAATATGAATTCAAAATGTTTGGCTGTTAGTCCTTGGGAAAAAAAAACACACCAGAAATACCTCCAACCTTTTAGGTTCTGTCCCACCATCTCCTTGAGTCTTATCAATTTGTATTATAACTCCTATTCTCGAATATATTTAAGCCAGCAGCTCTCAACCAGGAGTAATTTATGCCTCCCACAGAACACATGGCAATGTCTGGAGACATTTTTGGCTGTTACAACTGGGAAGAGAAGTGGAAGGAGGTACTGGCATACAGAGTGTACAGGCTAAGGTTGTGAGGTTAACTAACCTTTTAGAGAGAATATTCAATATAGGTTTATGACAAAATCTTGATCTCTTCAGAGTTTTGGTTTCGACTATTTGACAGCTAAGTTTCAGATCGCTTATTTCAAAGCAATCATTCACACTCTTATGATTTTTATCTTCCGTCTTCCAGGGACTAAAAGAAAACATCTATACACTTTGTAGTAAAATCTCACTTACCCAACAGTGTCTAGGATTGCAGTGTGTTTGTACATGATTTAATATTTCTGATAACAATTCATCCTTGCATGTACTGAGACTTTTAAATTTTAATTATTTTGCATGAAAACCTTTACAATTTGTATCACACATGTTTCTGCCTTCTTAAACAGAGTAGACTGAATTTAACTTCTCCTGATAAATTTAGACTTATAAATAGTAAGGATTAGGTAAAACAAAAAAAATTCCATGAATCAGAACGGATAAAAAAATGAAACTCACAACTACTTCATATACACAACACCAAGAAAGAAATGCTCATAACCCTATAATGATCTTCAGTGAAAGAAATCATTCCTCAGAGGACACACAGGTATAAGAGCAGAAATAAAATAACCTACTTTATCTTTCGATGAAAACTCTGCCCTGTTGCAAGTCCCTGCTTCTCATGGGTGCTCTAAGCCAGTCAATGCAAGAATGGCAGATGGTAGACCAATTCTAACAACACAGGGGAATGTGACAAAATATTTTGCTCACAGTTGTGTTGAAGTATCATTATACATGTGCATTCACACCTCCTCTCAAAGAATTAATTCAACTCTGACTGGCATTGCAGAAACATAGCCCATGCTTTCACCATGTGTTATTTTGCTACTTGCGTTTGGTTTTAATACAATACTAATATTGCAGAGCCAAATGATTTCTGTCTCCAGCATTCCTAGCCCTGGCAATCTGTACTGCATGTGGAAAAGTAGGTAAAAGTGTGGAAACTGGCAGCTGAAACAGAGGCAGAAAGTTGCATCACTAGTAAAATGTGGAAGATATTAACTCCACAGAATACCAGGGAAGGCATATTCAATGGCTATAAAAATACTTTATAAACCCCAACTATTAATAACTTTTAATGTCATACCTAAGTCTTTGTATTTCTTTTGTTATGGGTTAATATTTCAAGAGCATGTGGAGCAAAAATTAATTATGTATTTATGGATATGCAATTCAAGTGAAAATATAACCTGGGAGCCCTGGAGAGAACTTTCTTTCCTCTTCTCAATCAGACTACTACAAGCTATGGATCAGAACAGAGAATCATGGCAGTGACTGTGGTCATTGAGATATAATTCACACACCATACAATTCACCCAGTTAGTGTGCATAATTCAATGTTTTCAGTATATTCACAGTGTTGCAGGTAGTGAATACTTTTTAAGATGCTTTGGCTCTTCAGTTTAATGAATTCTTTTGTTAACTAATACAAGACCTTGATGCGTCTGTAGAGAACATTTAACCTGAAAAATTCAATTATTTCCCATTTCTGGAGTGCTGGTTGTGATAATCTTATGAACCCATTAATTCCAGTATTATATTGCTCCCCTCTGACAACAGAAACTTAGACATTTATATATTATAGCAATAAAGAGTAAAACTCAAAACCATCATGTTGAGGAAAAGGAGACTTAACTTCCAGTTCTAGCTCTGTAACTTACTAGCACAGCTTCTGCTAGTATAGTACAGGCACAATAGGTATGCAATGGATCAGTGGTTCCATTACCAGAGGGACCCCACATGAATTAGCTGTGGATCTTAAAAACGACTATTTCCCAGGTCCACCACAGACAGATGAGACATCTAAGAGTCAGGCTTGGGGATTTGTTTAAAGCTCCAAAAAATGATAGGAATGTATTCCCCTGGCAAGAATCGAAGAATGGATTAACTTCCTGGTTGTGTGACACTCGCAAGTTATATAACTTTTTTTGTGCCCTAGTTTCCTCATGAGCAAAACAAGAATTCCTAAATGTGTCTTGTTACTAAATAGGAATATATGGAAACGGCTTGAAAAGCAAAAAGGGCAACAAAAATATAAGTTGAAAGATCCTTGTCATCTTTATTAGCTATCCTTGTGACTTACCACTCTGTCATATACACTGGGATCTGAACCAGTTTTACTTCTTCAGCTAGCAAAGAAGATGCTCTGAGCACCAGATATATCAATACTCTACTTTGGTTACTGACTTCTGAACTTTTATTTATTAACCACCTTTTCTTTTCTTAGTGGCATAAAGAACTGAATATGGCTTGTTACTTCATTTCAGTAATGCTCTCACATCCTTGATACTGAGAAAAATTCAGACAGATCTTCGGTTAGAATACACAATCACGAAACTTATTTATTTTCTCCCTATTTTAAACAAAATTTGGAGATTCCAATAATAGGACTGCTTTTTCTGTATATAATTGCCACATGACAAATGATCTAAAATAACTGATTGCTCTAGTGAGGCAGACCCTTTTCCTCTTTTCTACTTGAAAAAAACACAACTATTTAAAAGCATTCAAGAGGGCCCTGGCCTGGTGGTTCAGTTAGTTGGAGCACTGTCCTATACACCGAAAGGTTGTGGGTTTCATTCCCGGTCAGAGCACATACCTAGGTTGTAGGTTCAATCCCCAGACGGGATGCATACGGGAGACAACCAAATGATATCTCTCTCTCTCTTCCTCTCTCTAAAAAGAGAAAAAATCAACAGAAACATATCTTTGGGTGAGGATCAAACAAAAACATTCAAGAAGGCTTTAGTTCAATATACTACATTAAGTTTCACTCTGCAGTAGAGGTTCTGAATTCTAATTCTAGTCGTGTTTAACCTCCTACTACCTATCAGTGGAACTTTGGTCTAGTTACTACTCTCTCTGAACCTCAGTTTTTCTTTGCTTAAGATGATTCCACTGACTTAGATAATTAGTGAGATCCATTTCATTTTACCAATGACATTCTTTAATTTGGTTCTCTTATAGATAACTGTACTTCCTTTATCTCTCCCTAAAGAGTAAGATTCATAGGAAATCACCAAAATTCAATACAAACCTCCATCAAGGCTCCGGGATGCCCGTTTGCTTGCTGTACGCTCGAAGTGTGGGGCTGGCCTGTCAATCAGAGCACTAGCTTGTCTGGTTTGAGCTTGAGTTCGGCCACTGTATCGAAATTTGGATCCCAGTGCAAGAAATTTGCTTTTAGGAAGGGTGTCTGTAGATGTCAGTCTGGGGGGAAAAAACCATAATGATCATATAATATATTTAATCTCACTCTACTGAGACTGTGAGATTAAAGACAAAAATCTAGATTTTTAAAAGTTTCAAAATTTTCAGTTTCCTTATAGTTACTAAGACATATTTTAAATCAAGCAATCATTATTTTAATTCTATGTCATTTCTCCAAGCAACATGTATAATTTACTTATACTAGTATCATCTTATATTTTTATATCTCTGTAGACAGGGCCTTATGGTTTTCAAAATCCTTTTGTAGCACTGTAATATTTTCACTATATCCTCGTAATATTGTTATCATTTTATTGATAGAAGAAAGTGAACCTCAAAAAAGAAGTTACTTGCTTAAGGTCACATAGCTGTAAAGAGGTTGGGCAGTAACAGAGCTCTTTTTCTTTCCTTTTTTTTTAAGTTTTTTATTGCTTAATGCATTACATAAGTCTCCTTTCTCCCCCATTGACCTCTCCCAGGCTGCCCCCAACCTCAGCAAATCCCCCCCCCTCCCTCCCCGCTATCTGTGCCCATTGGTTATGCTCATATGCATGCATACAAGTCCTTTGGTTGATCTCTTACCCCCTCACACCTCCACCTTCTCTCATAGGCTGGACAGTCTATTCGATGCTTCTATGACTCTGGTTCTGTTTTTGTTCATCAGTTTATGTTGTTCATTATATTCCACAAATGAGTAAGATCATGTACTATTTATCTTTCTATGACTGGCTAATTTTGCTTAGCATAATGCTCTCCAGTTCCATCCATGCTGTTGCAAATGGTAAAAATTCCTTCTTTTATACAGCAGCATAGTATTCCATTGTGTAGATGTACCACAGTTTTCTAATCCACTCTTCTGCTGATGGGCATTTAGGCTGTTTCCAAATCTTAGCTATTGTAAATCAGAGCTCTTTTTCCACTCTACTAGAATAATTTTGTCAAATGCACTCCAAACTCAATTAATCCCTGGTAACCTATTTAATAGGTTATTTAGTGTATTTTCAACTCAGTGAGGAACCCCATCTTCTTCTTTTTTAAAAAAAAATATATTTTATTGATTTTTTACAGAGAGGAAGGGAGAGGGATAGAGAGTTAGAAACATTGATGAGAGAGAAACATCGATCAGCTGCCTCCTGCACACCCCCTACTGGGGATGTGCCCGCAACCAAGGTACGTGCCCTTGATTGGAATCGAACCCGGGACCCTTCAGTCCACAGGCCGACGCTCTATCCACTGAGCTAAACCGGTCAGGGTGTGGAACCCCATCTTCTTATGCAGTACCCTGTGCTCTCTTTAGTCACAGTATTTACTACACTGAATTGAAACAATTTATGTGCTGGTCTCCACTTATTCATCCTTATGTTTTTCACTTCTGGCATAGTGCCTGGCATGAATTTGGCACTCAATAAATGTTTGCTGAATAAATACATAAATTATTACATCAAATACTATAAAAAAAGTATTTTTTCCTTGGGGATCGTTTATTTTAATTCAGCAAATACGACTTTCTTTTATGTAATGAAGCATTACATGTTAATATAGCCTCTTATTTTGATGCAATGGATTTAAATATGCTATCCTACAAGTAAATACACTGGTTGTAGCTGAAATCTATAGCATAGATATTAAACACTCAAAATAACTTTTTTCTTTTTTTTTACTTTTCCTTACCCTTTTTAAAAACTCTATTCTATTGGTTTGATTTTAAAGAAGAGGATGATTAAAGCATAAACAAAAATCTTAAAGTCAATGATTAAGATTCTTTAATTGGGTATAAAATGTATCCTGTTTTATTTTTAAGTGAGAATTTAAATGTTATTTTCCCTGGCTTTTCTTCCTGTCCACTGTGCTGTAATACTAGGTATGAAATGAAAAATACAACTAGAAGGAAAATATATCATGATTCTCTCTCTTGAGAGCCATTTGAGAGTCAAGTTTATTTATGAATGATGTGACATGAGGGCTTGGATTTGCTTCAAAATAATCTAGGAAGTAGTGGGCAGAATTGGGTGGCATAATAGATAAAACAAGACTGGCCTTGGGATGATAATTATGGAAGCTGGGTGATATGCATTATACTAGTCTCTTTACTGTACTAGTCTCTTTACTGTTGTTATGTATGCAATTTTCCATAATAAAGAACTTTTCTTAAAAAGGCAAGCTGACAATAACAAGCTGACTCTCCTTTCAATACAGTCATTTGTCTAAGGTCTGTGTTCTCTGCTAGACTGTATGTTCTATCAGGACAGGGACTAGAACTATCTTGTAGTATATATAGTCTCAGTGCCTAGAACAGTACCTACACTGAGAAAATGCTTGGTAAATGAAGACGGCGGGGGGGGGGGGCGGTTAATGATATGGCCTCTTGAAAATCAGAGGAAAGAAAACTTTCTTCTGATCATCTGATACAATTGAGCTTCAAAGATGGTTCTCTGTGCTCCCTTTCTGGGTTGATTAGAGCCAAGATAATGATCAGCTTCATACCTTTCATCTTTCAGTTAAAAAGCCCCACACAGAAAGTAGTTAAGCACTACTTAGAGAAATTACATGTGGAGGTAGTCAGGGTACCTCCTCCTGATAGGACTGATTTCAGCTCCAGTTAGAGCAATCACAGAGCCCCCAGTAAACACAGGTTCCTATCCTCACTTCTCTACTCCTACTACCATACACAGAAAGGTGCTCTGGGAATGCTGAGGCATGTTTTTCAACCCAAAGGAGAACTGGATTCATTTTGTCTTGCTTAAGACGATCTTACCTGAGCTAAATAAAAAAAATGCCAGCCATTCAAAGAAGAGAATTTTAATAGCAGACTTAAAACAGAAACTTGCATAAACAACGTATCCTTGAAAAATACTGAAGTGAGAACAATACCTGAAAAATGTGTGATGCTCTACACAGACTTTCCATAATTTCTTAGCTGCTCGGTAACTGGGAAGTTTGAATCCGATGGTACTTTCATACTGTTCTTGCTATAAAAACACAAATAAACATTGAACATAAAGGATTATTTGACTATAGTGATAAGGACCACAGAAATATGGTACTACAGAAAAGGTCATCAAGAATAAAAAGGACATCCCTAAAGGCATAAAATATTTAAAATATTTTCCTACTTACAAAAAGAAATTTACTCACCGAGGTGGCTTTTTCCACAACAAGGAAGCCAAGAAATGCATCTTATATTATTTATGCATCTTATTTTGCTCAGAAACACACACATACAGAGTACATTTTTCTGGGTCATCATTAAGTTACCTTTTGATTGTCCAGACAGGGCTCTTTCTTAGTCATCATTTGCACTTGGGATACTAGACTACTTAATGCTCAGGGAATGAGATAGTAGATGATTCCTCCAATCAATCAATATTATTATGCAATTTTACGTATTTATTGTTTTTTTAGTAATAGGAGCTAGAGATGAAACATTTTGCCGGTTTGGCTCAGTGGATAGAGTATCGGCCTGCGGACTGAAGGGTCTCAGGTTTGATTCCGGTCAAGGTCACCTACCTCGGTTGCAAGGTTGCAGGCTCATCCTCAGCCCTGGCCCTGTTCAGGCTCATGCAGGAGGCAACCAATTGATGTGTTTATCTCACATCAATATTTCTCTGTCTTTCCCTCTCTCTTCCACTCTCTCTAAAATCAATGGAAAAATATCCTCGGGTGAGGATTAAAAAAAAATTTTTTTTAAAGATGAAAGATTTTGGCTCTAACCAATTCTTGAATTATTAATTGCCTTCTCTCTTTTACTTTAATTGATCATTAATTTATCTTGATACCTCTTTGACTGAAGCAAACCATATCCTGCTAGTCTGCTTTAAGCATACTTTTTTAAGATGGAAAGGAAACTGACATTTATTTCTAGCGCCTATTATTGCCAATATGCTATGACTAGATAGTATTACACATGAAAAAACTGAGGACAGACAAGTTACTTCTCAGTTTCACAGTTATGAAGTGGCATAACCAGAATTTCTTGGTTTCCACTAAACCATGCTACTTCCAAATCATCTACTATAGTCATAATACTACACTTATTGAAATCCTCCTGTTGTTCCTGGGTTGTGTTTCTTAAAATAAGAAATCTGCAATTTTAGTATATATTATATAGTTGACATTTAAAGAAACCAAAACTTCTATTATCAAATTTATTAAAAAGTGTGTGTGTGTGTTTGTGTGCGCGCGCGCGCACGCGCGCCTTCCCACAAAAATAAATGGACTTTTATTCACTGTCCCTACCCCCTAGAGTAGTGCATGGCACAAAGAATGCCCTCAATAAATATCTGTTGACTGAATGACTCTTGGTTTGAAACTCTTTGACAGAAGACAGAGATTGTTCTGTGAAAGGCACAGGTAAATAATTATGGTACTAAATAAATGCTTCAATGATCATTCTTATGAGATTTTTAAGGCTGAACAGCCAGTATTTCCATGCTCAAATAATGAGCCATTTCCACCAGCAGATGGTGATATACACACACAAAAAACCCTCTAAATTAATATAATGTTTTCCAGCTTAGACCTTTTGCAGCTGTCTTCTCATTTGATCTTCAAATCAACCCTGACAGAGAAGGTATTTTCCACCTTTTTTTTTTTTTATTCAAAACCTCTTCTTCATTTTATTTTATTTTATTTTTAATTTTTTTATTGCTTAAAGTATTACAAAGGGTATTACATATGTGTCCCTTTTTTTCCCCCGCCCTTGACAATCCCCTGGCCTCCCCTACCCCCCAGTGTCTTATGTCCATTGGTTATGCTTATATGCGGTATTTTCCACCTTGAATGATAAAGAAGCTGAGTCTTAGATTTCTCCAGGGTCTTTTACTTAGTAGGTGGCAGAGTAGGAGGTAGAACTTTTAAAAAAATTTAATTCCTACTTAAACAATTTTCCTTTATACATAGTGACTATTTAATATAAAAGTTAAATTTGGTCAGCATTAATATATCCTGAAACTTGCCCACCAACTAATAATTGAATTATCTGACACAAAGTTAAACAACTCTATTAAAAATCTAGAACTTGAGCCTGGAATATATTCCCAGTAACTATTAGAAGCTACGCATATAAATACATTTTAATTAAATGAGTAAGAGATTGGTGGTAAAAACATGAGTAACTTAAACTCCTCAATTTAAAAATCTCATGCTACTCAATTTAAAACGATTTTCCATGAAGATTTTACCTGGAGTAAACAAGGAACAAGTTTATCAATGCAAGTTTCACTTTTGGCCATGGTATATTTACTTACATAAAGAGAAAAGCCCAGAAAACCAGTAGCAAGGAGGAAAAGCAGCATTACAGGACTGATTGAGAAAATAGAATATCAGCTCCTGCATAGTTAACTATAGAGAGACCTCTTAGATGACATAACAAGAAAAAAAGGAAGCGACGAGATATTGTAGACATGGTCTGTGTTTGATTCGGGGGTGGGGGGAAAGAAACACAAATTCTATACCTCTCCAGGCCGAATCTTGATAAAAAAGCTGCTACGTTTATAAGAAATCTTCAGCACTTTGGGCCAAGGAAAGCGGTTAATTCTCAGCTTATCTTTGTAAACCAGAAGGCCACTAGAGCAGACACCTAGGATGATGTCCACTCCCTCCAAGTCCTGAAAAAGAGAAGCATTAGCAGTTCAGTCTTGAGCAAAGTGCTTAACACACTGCTATTACTAGAGAATCTGAAGATATCAACAACCAAAAAGAGTTACAAAGCATACCATGAATAATAAAGCTTAACCTAACATAATAATCCATGGGACTATTCGGTCTATGTAAAATGTCATTACTCTACCACATTAAAAAACCCCCACAATGTTATTACCTATCACAAATATCTTTAAAATGTCCAAATCAGACACAGTAATTCTATTTCTGTAATTTGTTTCAAGAAAATAATTCAAATCACAGAAAATGCTTTATACATGAAAATATTCAGAATGTTGTAAGAGTGAAAAATTGGATATAACCTAAGTACCCAACCTCCGGGGTTAAATTATTGCCCATTCTTTGGTGAAATATAATGTGACCATTAAAATAGTTACATAGATGCCCTGACCGGTTTGGCTCAGTGGATAGAGCGTCGGCCTGCAGACTGAAAGGTCCCAGGTTCGATTCCGGTCAAGGGCATGTACCTTGGTTGCAGGCACATCCCCAGTAGGAGGTGTGCAGGAGGCAGCTGACATATGTTTCTTTCTCATCGATGTTTCTAACTCCCTATCCCTCTCCCTTCTTCTCTGTAAAAAAATCAATAAAATATATTTAAAAATAAAAATAAATAAAATAGGTTATGTAGAATTTGGGAGATAAATGGGAAAATAATTATGTTATAATGTTGAGTAAAATAAAGCAGGTTAAAGCTGCATATATAATTTGATCACAACAATATAAAAAATATACATAGAAGAAAGATGAATATAGCAAAACATTAACAATGGTATTCTTTAGTTGGTACAATTGTAAGCAACATTTCATTTTAGCTTTCTATATTTTCCAATTATAGTAAACATGTATTTTAAAAAACATTTACATATCACTAAACTAATACATGTATGTAAAAAATTCAAATACAGATGTGTGTAAAATAAAAGTAAAACTCTACCCTCTCCTCCCACACTCCTTAACAGTAACCAGTAATAATTTGATAATTTCCAGGATTATCATCCTATTTTCCAGGTATATACAAATATGTTTGGGTAAGACATACATACATACATATTACTAGTAATCAGTATATTATGTAATTATATGTATATCACCTTTATAATTAGGTAAACAACTAGAAAAAAATTACAATCCATTTCTTACGGGTGGAAATTGTATAGTAATCATTTCTGTATTACCCCAAATACTGTCTGTTATTGACAGCATGCTCAATATATGTTTACATTGAGTTTGTTACCTGCCTGCATTACTATTCATAATTTATTATGACAAATATCAGTAAATTCTTTGCTTCTGATTTACAAGAGTTTTGATTCATTTAAATTGACAAATTAAAGAATTTCAAGTTATTTTAGTAACAAAATACATTAGGTTTAAATCTTGAACCAGTAATATCAATTATTTCATTCATTATTGGTGATTCTGAGGGAACATCTGCTTTTCTTTTGTCCAAGAAACACAGACATGAAAATATCTTACACTGAAGGAATCAACTGCTATAAGAAGCAATATGGCTATATTGCCACCATCACTACCTCTCAAAGCTACTGTGAAATGTCACAGAGCTTGCACCTCATCTGCCTTTACAACATTCCTCCCATAAAACTGAGCCTCTGCCTCTAAAAAGGCTTACCTTAATACTCCAAAAAGAGACACTAATTTACTTTTACAATGCTTATCTGTATATAAAAATTCTAGTAAACATTAATGTTCTCATTTTGGCCTCTGAGGTCTAAAATACTCAAACCTATCACTATCGTAATCACCAAATAATTACTACAGAAGCTATGGTAGCTGCATATCCTATACATATATGTTTAAGTCAGTAGACTACATGACTTCCTGGAGGCCAGGGTTTAGGGATATATCCTAATTTATAAAAAGCCAGGGGCTGTCATGACCGAAACAACCGGACAGATGACCAAACAGCAGGCTGCGTGGGGTGACCAGGCCGGCAGGAGAGGGCAGTAAGGGGTGACCAGACCAGCAGTTAGGGGGAACCAGGGCGGGGGGGGGGCAGTTGGGGGTCATCAGGCCAGCAGGCAGAGGTGGTTAGGGGTGATCAGGCTGGCAGGGAAGACAGGGGCAATCAGGCAGGCAGGTGAACAGGTAGGAGCCAGTGGTTCCGGATTATGAGAGGGATATCCAACTGCCGGTTTAGGCCCAATCCCCAGGCCTAAACCGGCAGTTGGATATCCCCTGATGGGTCCTGGATTGGAGAGGGTGCAGGCTGGGCTGAGGGCCCTCCCCACCCCCACCCCCCACCCCCGTGCACTGGGCCTCTAGTCTATATATATAAAAGCCTAAGCGACCGGCCAATTGGTAGCTATGATGTGCACTGACCACCAGGGGGCAGAGGCTAAACACAGGAGCAGAAACCACAGGCATAGAAACGTGGAACAGACTGATGAATCTCAGAGGGAAGAGGGGGTGGAAAGAAATTAACCAAAGATCTTATATGCATACTAGAGGCCTAGTGCACGGATGCACTGGTGGGGTCCCTCAGCCTGGCCTGCAGGGATCAGGCCAAAACTGGCTCTCCGGCGTCCCCCAAGGGGTCTGGGATTGCAAGAGGGCGCAGGCCAGGCCGAGGGACCCCACCAGTGCACAAATCCATGCACTGGGCCTCTAGTATACCAATAAACATTTTGCACAATTATTTTTCTTAATATATATTTATTGATTTCAGAGAGGAAGGGAAAGAGAGAGAGAGAGAGAGAAACATCAAGCTAGAGAGAATCATTGATTGGCTGCCTCCTGCAGCCCCCCTATTGGAGAATGAAGCTGCAAACCAGGCATGTGCCCTGACCGGGAATTGAACTGCGACCTCCTGGTTCATAAGTCAACACTCAACCACTGAGCAACACTAGCCAGGCTTTTTTTTTTTTTATGATAAAGTGGTCATCCTTTCAAAAATCATGATAAGGAGTTAACTTTATTACTATATAAATTTAATGTGAGAGAACTACAGGTTCTTATAATTATTATGTTAAGTATATTAAATTATAAATATTATCCCCAAGTCAAGAAAGAATAGTCAGATAAAACATAGTCACATTTACATGCCTCTTTTCTTAGAGAAAAATTTAAAAATTAGATGTTAATCATCTATATGTCTGTAACTCAAGGAAACTAAATTTCACCTGAGTTAATTTCTACAGATGAGTAGAAATTAAGATAAGTAATCAATTTAGATAAGTAATCAAAACCTAGAGTTAAAGGTTTCTTGACTACTTCTTTTCCTCAGTTGGGTATAGAAAAACATATTAGTGCCTACATGTGTACGTGCAAGCACAATCGAGAAGCAGAAATTATATGACTCCAATTCAACGACTACGTAACTGAGAATTTCCCAGAAGATGTCCTCTTAAGTTCTTAAAGCCTGTAGGTACAACAATATCTCTCAATTATACATTCTGAAGAAACAATTTGCTTTACAGCATTTGGGAAAGGAACTTGTTATCTGACTCCTCTATTCATTCCAGATAATTACTGAATCAATAGCCAGCCTCCAGCAGGAATTAAGAGCAAAACCAAACAATTTCAGTTCCGGAAATATAGCTATTCTGATGTTACTCATCTTCCTACCATCTACTTTACAGATTCACAGATTACATAGATTCAAAGTTATAGTGCCCAGCCCAAAACAATCTGGAACAACATCTTTAGAAAAACCACTAACATGCAATGAAATTATAATAGAATTAATCTAACTTAAGGAAGAGACTTCAGATATCAGATATTCACATTGGGAGAAGCTTGAAAGGTCACTTTAGTTCAATCACTCAAGTGACTGTACTGCCTACCATGGGGTACCTCTGACAATAGAGAGATCACTATCTTATGAGGTAGTCCATCCCTTCTTTGAATAGCTTTGACTGTTAGACAATTTGTCAAACTAAGCTGAACAGAATTTCCCTGTAGTTTACTTTACTGGCTCTAGTTTTATATCTTGGAGTCATAGTAAAATCTCTATTTCACACACCAATTCTTTAAATGCACGAAGACAGATATTATGTCTACCCAACTTTCTCTTCTGTGAGCCAAGTATTCCTATTCCTTTGCTTGTTTCTCATTGGACCTAGTTTTGAGTCCCCTCTTCATGCATCCTAGTTAAGTTCTTCTATGAAACTCTGATTATCCCTTGAGCCCTTTCCCTCACAAACTCCTCAACCTCCCAGCCAGTAGCTGAAGATGAGAGAAGTCAAGCATCTGCCCTTAAAGTATTCATTCTATTAGGTTGTATTAAACAGAACTAGGATTAGAGCTCAAGTTTCCAATATCATAACCCAGTGGTTCTCAAATGAGCCACTAGTGTTCATGCCATGTGCACTAAAATCACCTGGACAGATTGATTAAGCAGATAGCTGGGTTCTACCCACAAAGTTTCTTATTCAGTAATTCTGGGATGGGGCCTGGAGTGTGCATTTCTAACAAGTTCCTCAATAATGCTAAATGCTGGTTCAGAGATCACACTTTGAGAACTACTACCTTAGGCCAATGGTTCTCAGATTCAAGCATAGGTGAGAATCATTTGCGATGTTTAATAAATCTAGAAATTTAGCCTTTTCTCCATAATAATTCAGTAAATCTTGGAGGAGTTTGGGAATCTGCATAGTTAGTAAATGCTCCAAGTGATTCGGATAAATGTGACATTGGCTGTGAAACATACATGGATGCCACTCAACATTTTCAAATATATCTGTATTTTAGGAAAACAATTTCTTTTGCTCTAGATGTTATATATTTTGATAGCTTGGATGTGAAACTTGAATTCTGATGGTGGAATTACAAAGGGACAATTCATTTTAATACTTGATACACTTGATTGACTCAATTGATAGACTTAAAAGTCTAACAAGAATTAATTCTTCTCTCTTTAGAATGTTTTATAATAATAACCCCAGATAAAGGTTAGTGAGAAGTATTATATGACATAGGTCTGACACATGCATGTTAATAAAGGCCAAAGTTATTACCTTTGCTTTATGAAGGTCAACACCATACATAGACAACTTTTTGGCATTCTCAAGAAATTCCAGGTCAGCTTGAGCTGGAGTCATGGACCTTTGAAAGAATACAAATTTAAAACTCTTTCAGTGTTACAGTGTCAACATTTACAGTAACATTTGTATAATAATTGCATTTTATATATACCAATATGAATGTATAGTTCATAGTTCTGAAAGAAGAATATTATGGAAAATGACTCTTAAAATAAGAGATCTTAGAGCAACAGAAAGTCCACCAAAAAGCTATCAGAAAAAAAAAAGTTAAAAAAACCCTACTAAACAATTTCCTTAAAGCAGCCTCATCCACCATCAGTTCTGCCCCTTCCTCTCCTCAGCCTTTTTCCCAACACACATAAACTCCTCCCACTAATTTTTCTTGCTAAAGGGGTGACTAAATTAAATTCTCTGAGGGCATGGTACAATTTACAATATCTTCTTAGCTGCTTTTTTCGCTCCATACCCCTGAATTGAGTTACTATGAAAATTAAACAGAAGGGCAGCTGAAGTTACTTAACTGGAGACTCTTAATGGGGACAGGCTTGATGAAAAAAAAAATCTAACAGATGGTGTTCCTGTCCACTGATCTAAACAAAATAAATTGGTTAATAGAAGCATGTAGATAATGGGGCTGCTTTCTCTGTTATTAAGATGTCTTGATTACTAGGCATATAATGAATTTGATTTGTTTGAAAACAATCAGTCTCACTGCCTAAATACTCACTGGAATGGTCTTTCCTTCTCCTTTTTAACTTTCCTCTCTTTTTCCCCCCCAAAAAGATCTCATGGGCAGTTATGTTGAAGAGAAAGATATCACTCCTAGTGCTGCACAATTCAGACCAATAAAATATAACTTCACAGTAACAACAATGCGCCCACAACCCCAAAGAAAAATCATGGAAATGCCTGTTTCCCATAAGACTGCCTCAAGCTATACAAAGCAGCAGTGGCCTATTCATTTAACAGGAGGAAAAGTCTCTTTCAAACCCATCTGTTTTTACCCTCATTAAAAAGAACAAAGGGTTCCTTGGAACAATAACAACAACAAAATCTCAGGAGAGAGGAGCAGAATTGTTCATGTCACAGCCTCCCTGAATAAATTGCTTTTCACAAGTTCACTATCACACCTGAATTCTATTTATTAATGGATCTGAAGAAAGGAAAATTAAGACATTTACAAATCTGTATAGTCAAGTCATTAAAAACATACAAAAGTTTTATAGTTTTTCCACCCCACATAAGTTATATACTTTTATAGTTGTAAGAGTCATTTTATGGTTTTTGTAGTTACTATTATCTATGGCTTGAATTTTAGGATTTAAAAAATATGTATATTTTTATTGATTTCAGAGAGAGGGAGAAAGAGACAGAAACATCAATGATGAGAGAGAATCATCAATTGACTGCCTCCTGCACGCCCCTACTGAGGATCGATCGCAACCAGGGCTTATGCCCTGACCTGAATCAAACCAGTGACCTCTTGGTTCCTGGGTCAACGCTAAATCGCTCAATCGCTGAACCACACCTAGCTGGGTGAATTTTAGGATTTTGAAGCTGGAATGGAGCTTGAAGATTGCAGAGTCCAACACTTTCATTTTGCTGATGAAAAAAAAGGCCCTGAGGGATCACATAGTCATGGGCAAGTTATGACTCCTTGTTTAAGGCAGCAGGATTTAGTTAGGACTCAAGTTATATTTCTTGAACTGGAATCCTGGCTCCTACGCTGAAAAAGTAGTGACCTGGTATCTTCTTCAATATCTGAACTATAAAATCAAAATCAATATAATAACTACTTTTTTGTCTTTGCTGAATGAATGTGACTGGTAGGACAAAATTAGGTAATGGTTGTGAAACTGCTTTGTAAAATATAAATGTTTATTATTTTTTATTGCAACAGTGATGTACCTTATGCAGCTCATAAAAGAGAAATAATTTTGACCACTTGAATTTGAAGACAAATTTTAAAACAGTAAATGAAACAATTATGATAAAATCTTCCCTATACTCACTCCCCCAACTCTAAGGGACTATAATGGGGTTAATCAATTTGAGTATAGATTTAAATTTCAAACTATGTGGTCAAATGCTTTTCTGAGTAAGCATGCTTTAAAACTGTATTATGGGCAGGTAGTAAGAAGAGATCTTTAAATCTGAAGATATAACTTTCCACCCTAGCCTGTTTGGCTCAGTGGATAGAGTGTCAGCCTGCAGACTGAAGGGACAAAGGTTCGATTTTGGTCAAGGGGACATGCCTGGGGGGGCATGCAGGAGGCAGCCAATCAATGATTCACTCTCATCATTGATGTTTCTATCTCTCTCCCTCTTCCCTCCTCTCTGAAATCAATAAAAATATTTTTTTAAAATAAAATAAATAAAAATAAAGATATAACTTTCCTGTTAGTTTAAAATAATATAATTTAAAAATTTTGAAACACAAACTTAAAAGTTACCTATAATATGAAAACTAATACAAAGTAATGTTGAATGTAAACTGTAATTGAAAAATAAAATTTTAAAAGTTACCTATAATCACAAGTAATATCTTCCTGAACCGTGAGAGTAAATTGTCAACCTGATGACCCATCACTTCCAAATATTTTAGTATGTAATTCCTACAAACAAGGACATTCTCCTACATAAACTCAATATAGCTGTCAAAACTAGGAAATATTTTCTAAAATATATTCTTACTGATTTCAGAGAGGAAGGGAGAGGAAGAGAGAGAGAGATAGAAACATCAATGATGACAGAAAATCATCTATTGGCTGCCTCCAGCATACCCCCTACTAGGGATTGAGCCTGCAACCTGGGCATGTGCCCTGACCAGGAATGGAACCGTGACCTCCTGGTTCATAGGTTGACACTCAATCACTGAGCCACACTGGCCAGGCAGAACATATTAATACATTACTGCCATCTAACCCCCAGACTCCATTCAAGGTTAGCCAGTTTCAAAAATGTTCTGTATAGACAAAGGATCCAGATTAGCATCACAAGTTTCATTTAGTTCATGTCTTTTTAGTCTTCTTCAGTCTGGAACAGTTCCTTAATCTTTGTTTCATAATCTTAACCTTTGGAAGATGAAAGAGAATCATTGATCGGCTGCCTCCTGCACGCCCCCTACTGGGGATGGAGACCACAACCCAAGCATGTGCCCTTGACCAGAATCAAACCTGGGATCATTTAGTCTGCAGGCGGACACTCTATCCACTGAGCCAAACTGGCTAGAGCCATGGCCATCCTCCTCATCCTACTCAGGCTTCAACACCCTGTATCAGGTACAACCCATATGGGTGCCCTCCCCCCGATGCAGGCCTTAGCCCCATGTGGATGCCTTTCTCACTCTTCTTTGCCAACTAACGTATGACAGCCCTCTTCATCTTATTTGAGCTGACTTTCCACACCAGGCTGCACACTCATCCCCATGAACACTCTTCCCACCCTGCTTAGGCCTGAATATCGCCAGCCAGACTGCCCTTCTGCACATATGACTATCTTGCTCTGTCCCACCTATTAGTTTTTAAACAAAATTGTTTAAGGAAGCCTTTTCTGATTATAAAAATCATATATGTTCATCGTATAAAATTTGGAAAGTATCATTAGGAACACAGGGAAAAAGTCTCCTATAATCCCACCATCCACAGACATCTGTGCATGTAAATATAACATTTTCTAAATGTAATATCATATATCAAACTTAAAGTATTTTTAACTTAAAATTTTAAAGATCATGGCTTTCCCCAAGTTTTCCAAGACTCTTGAAAGTAATAACAAATTAGCTGGGAAGAGATTAGATACCTCTAAACCATTCAGAGTACTGTCATGAATTTATTAAATACCACCTAATAATTTACTTTTTCAAAGTACTGCCGCCTACGAAGTGCCTAACCAGAAAGCTTTGGCACTGGTTAACTCTTGCTCATTAAAAAGGAAAGTTACAACAAAGTTTCCCTGTATTTATTTTGAGCAAGTGGGGTCAGGATATATAGCCACTCAGTGAGTTCCAGTGTTATGTGACAGACGTTTAATAATGTTTCTTACATCTCTTAATTAAGGACTGTGATTTCAAATAATTAAGGGGGACAACTGACAAGTCCTAGTATCCATAAATGGAGGGCAATTAATTTTTAAAGCTTGATGTGTTCGTGTAAATTTAAAGTGTTAATTATAGCTTCAAAGTCTCTGTCTGGGCAAAGGGCCATTACTAAGAGTTCCATATAAGTGGCTATCTCTGCCTTATCTGAGGAGCAGGGTGGTATTTGCTTGTGCTTTTCCATGCCTAGTACATGCTTCTGCCCAAGCAGAAGTTTCTTTGTATTGGTTAAAATGTCATGTGTTTGGACATAATTAAAATCTCCATTTGGCCTTAGATGGTTTGGCTCAGTGGACAGAGCATCAACCTGCGGACTGAAGGGTCCCCAGTTCGATTCCGGCCAAGGGCATGTACCTCGGTGGCAGGCTCGATCCCCGGCCCTCTCACATTGATGTTTCTCTCTCTGTGTCTCTCCCCTCTCTTTCATTCTCTAAAAAAAATCCATGGAAAAAATATCCTCAGGTGAGGATTAACAAAACAAAAAACAAAAAACAAACCTCCTATATATAATCAAATTGGCTTTCTGTTTGTGAGGGTTACAAATTGTTCTAAAAAGGAGGAAGTAAATTCCAAGATGACAGACTGCAAAATGTTCTAGTCATGGAGATCCACTATTGCTCAATCTACCCGTGTATCTAACAGAACATCAACTGAACCATATCCATTGCTCCTCAAATCACTTCACCTTCTGGGGTTTAAATTCTGTTAAGTTCCAAAGAGGTGTTCTCTAAACCCAAACTCATATTCATCACATAAAATAGGGACAAGAATTATCATTATCCTAGCAAACATCTGAATTCTCACTGTATACTAATCATTATTCTAAGCACTTTACATGAACTTTATGGTTTAACAATCATAAAATTCACATTATCACCCATATTTTTGAGATCAGAAAACTGCAGCTTAGAGCACTTAAGCAACTTTCCAAGAATCACAAAGCTAATAAGGAATGTGTCTGAATTCAAAGTAAGACAGCCTGACTCCAGAGCCCATGCTTCTGTCTTATTACCTAACTCAGTGGTTCAAAAACTTTTGTACCTCAGGATCCCTTCACTCTCTTAACTATTATTGAGGACTCCAAAAAGCTTTCCTTTATGTCAGTGATTTTCAACCAGGTTTAAGCCTAACGTATTTTGTTACTAAAATAACTTGAAATTCTTAAATTTGTCAATCTAAAGGAATCAAATCTCTTGTAAATCAGAAGCAAAGAATTTTTAAAACATGCAATAGTTGACCTTTTCCTTTACATTGTCAAATTAAAAAAACCACAACAGCCAACACAACTATAGCAGCCCAGTGTTAATGAATCCAAATTATACCTATTTTTTTGTGCCACAGAATTTGAGCAATTAGTTTATGTGTCATGAGATGAAAAAAAGGCTGAAAATTGCTGCTTTATGTGGGTTATTTCTGTCAATATTTACTATATTGAAAATTAAAACTAACAAAAATTTATAATATTTACTAAATCTTTAAATAACACTAAACTCATATTGTAACATAACTTTTTGTGTGAAAAATAACAATACTTTCTAAAAAGATAGCAAAAAAGGGACATTGTTTTACATATTTACAAATTTTTAAAATGTCTGGCTTAGGTTAGATTCTCTTATCCACTTCTGCATTCAATTTGTTGTAATAAGTTGACTTTGTTATAATATATGAATGTTATCTCACAAAGACACATAGTTAGAAAAGGAAGGATTAATTATTTTAAATAATATTCTTTGATACTACACCCAAACCCAACAATGGCAGTTTCTTAAAGGTTAGTTGCAATACGAAATCTGAAAACATATTAATGCATTTTTATACGGTGTTATTTTGATCTATCTTGCATTTTAAATGGACCTTTTTTACCCATGCATGATTTATATCATGAACTTCATATCTGAAAAACATTGATTCACTGAGTAATAATGCACATTTTCCAAATGTTGACACATTTCAGTGTATGATATAAAAAAAAAATCACCATTAAAATCACCACAACTTCATCAGAAAAGCCTTTAAATATTTGTAACTTGTCAAGATCATGGTGGCAAATACAAGTTTTCCAAAATTCCAATTTTCACTTGAAAGCTTGAATTTTATCATTTTATCAGCAACAAATACTGTCAGTTGCTTACTAAATCCTAAATGTACTGGCTCTCTTCGCTTTTAAGAAAATGTCTTCAAAATAACCAAGTCTGAATAATCATAGTCATTTTTAAAAATATGTTTTTATTGATTTCAGAGAAGAAGGGAGAGGGAGAGATAGAAACATCAATGATGAGAGAGAATCACTGATTGGCTGCCTCCTGCACGCCCCCTACTGGGGATAAAGCCCACAACCTGGGCATGTGCCCTTGACTGGAATTGAACCTGGGACCCTTCAGTCTGCAGGCCAATGCTCTAACCACTGGCAAACCAGTCAGGGCCATAGTCATTTTTTCAAGTAAAAATAGTGTTCATAAAAAAGGTGACCAGCCCGGTCCGGTTTGGTCAGTGGTTAGCATGTCAGCCCTTGGGCGAAAGGGTTGTGGATTTGATTCCCGGTCAAGGACACATACCTCGGTTGCATATTTGATCCCAGCCCAGTTGGGGCGCATGCAGGAGGCAACCAGTCAATGTGTCTCTTGCATTGATCGATCATCCCCTCTCTCTCTCTTTCTCTCCCCCCTCCCTCCCTCTCTTCCTTCCTCCCTCCTCCCTCTCCCCTCTTTTGCACTCTCTCTCTAAAGATCAATGGAAAAAATATCCTCAGGTGAAGATTTTAAAAAAGAGGCTAATTCAGCTCACAACTCAAAACAATTACGCAGATGCTTTCCTCAAGACAACTGTTGTACCTCAGTATATAGCAGAACTGCTTTGTGTGTAGGTCCTATTTAACCACAAAGAATATTACATAGAAATGTATTTAAGATTTAATAAAATTAATACTTTTTACTTTCTCATCAAGAAAATTTCTAAGTGAACTGGCCCTTTTAGTCTTATTTCTAACTTCAAGTTAAAAAGTAAAATTAAAGTGCCTGTCTGTAAAGAATATAATAACAACTAGTACAGTTTGATGTCATTGCCTTTATTTGTGCTCCATCCATTTCAACACAGTGAAAAGGCAAATATCATCTTAGTATTGTTATAAAAATAATTTTAACCTTAAAAAAGTCTTGAAGACCACAAGGCTGCCCTAACTCAAAAGGTGGTTATAAAGATTAAATGTGATATTGTATGTAAAGTGCTTAGCATAATATCTAGCACATAATAATACACAATAATTAGCTGCTTATAATTATGATGATGATTGTATAACAATGCTACAAAGGAGAATCAAGCATTGGGTAACCTGAGATTCTATTATGATCAAATAGCCATTAAAAAATCATCAGAGATAGATTTAAGGCATCAATCATAATCTGACACCATCTGCTGTTTGGCTACACAGCAACAGTAAAATATTTTCTTTTACTATTTTACTGACTGCCCAAGATTTTACTATCAATAATAAAAATTATTTTTAAACTAAAAAGAGCATTCCCCTAAATCCTGACATTCTAACAAACCAAATTACTTTAACTGGTTGTTTCTATTATTTGCTTTTGCATGGATATATGTGTGTGAATATATATATTTTATAAATATAAAATTTTCTAGAATCATAATCAGAATATAAATAAAAGTATTAAAAATGTATTTAAGGACAATGCATGGTCCTTAAGTTATAATCATTAATAAGTAGAAAATGGTATATTTAGGGGGTCCTAGATATTAGTGTTTCTTTGGAAATAGGTGACCTCATGAGAATAGGGGTATTCTTACAAGGCTATTGCTATATAGGTTGTAGACTTAAAATCCTTATGGTTCTCATGACTGATGTACACTACAGGGGCAATAAGGCAGCCAGAATTGGGGCAACTTGAGTCAAAGGTCCCTTACTCAAAGCATCTCAATGGATGCAATCCTATTGGAACCACTCCAAGGAAAACAAGATTGTTCAATGTCTAGACAGAATACTTGTTAGTACCACGTAAAGCCTATAAGACTATTCTGGATTTCTCAGCAGTGTGACCTTCTGGAACATTGTAACCTACTCATGCCAACCATAACTCAGGGTACTAACTCAAGGCCAAGATCAGACATTCACTTAGTAGGCTAAAGCAGCTTGCAAAATTTAGTTATAGCAAGTCAAATATGGGAAGTATGGTAGGAAGAAACACAAATTATATTGGCACTTTAATAGTAGCTAACATTTATTGAATTTTTACTATGTAAGACATTGTATTAAGTTTTTCCACACATTATCTTTCCTAATCCTATCAACCATCCTATTTCCTGTGAGGTAAATAATCTCCACCAGACATAAAAAACCTGAGGCTCAGAGAGATTTAAATGAATGACCCAAAGTCCCAAGGCCATGACCAAGCAGAGCCAAAAATGTAATCCAGCTCAGTATGACCATAAATCCTGCTTTTGATAAAAGTATTTTGCTATCTCCCAACATTACCAATTATTTCCATGAGAAAAAGCAGTAACTTTAATAAAGACTTTAAAAAATACCTCCTGGGGTTTCATGGGCCCTCTGAAGTCTATCCATGTATATAGACCCCAAGTTAAGAAACCCTGCACTAGAATCTCAAGATACTTAATATAGTATAAGTTTAAAATTTGAAAAAATAAGGTATGGCAATCCTATATAATAAAAGGCAAATCGACCAAACGGCGGTACTACGGGTCCTATGACGCGCACTGACCACCATGGGCAGACGCTCAACGCAGGAGCCGCCCCCTGGTGGTCAGTGTGCTCCCACAGGGGGAACGCTGCTCAGCCAGAAGCCCTGAGCAGGGCTCACAGCTGGCGAGCTCAGTGGCAGTGGCAGGAGCCTCTCCCGCCTCCATGGCAGTGCTAAGGGGAGCGGGCCTAAGCCATCAGTTGGACATCCCCCGAGGTCTCCCAGACTGCAAGAGGGCACAGGCTGGGCTGAGGAACCCCACCAAGTGCACGATTTCGTGCACTGGGTCTCTAGTAATATTAAAATAGCTACCATTTATTGAGCACCTACTATGTGCCAGAGACACTGTGCTTAGTACTTTACATATATTAGCTCATTTTGTTTTCTCCTACAATGCAACACCCATTACTCTAATGAGAAAACTGAGATCAGAGGACTTAAATGACTTAATGAACTGGGAGGGAATTGAGCTTATGCTGACTCATTCTGTGGCACCAGTTCCCACTAAAGCAAACAGTGAATTAAGACCAGGTAAAGGGTTTAAACTTATTGCCAAAACAAACACAGAACAAACTCTGGAGACATATTTACCTGTATGACTTATGCAGTTCCATGACTTTCTCTTCAAGTTCCTTGGTCTGATTTGGGGCCAGTTTAAAATCACTAACATAATCCGCACCATGGAGTTCAGGGTCATAATCGCCCAGCTCAGACTGGATGGTATAAGAACCTAATAAAGCTAAAGTTGCAAAGGAACAGGGCAGACGTCCTGCAACTATGTCTTGTCGAAGTTGAAGACATAAATAATATCTATAGCCAAAAGAGAAAAGATGTTACCATGTCAGCAACAACAACAAAATATAGAGAGAGAAAAGGAAGAAAAAGGAAGAGAGAGGGAAAAAGGGAAGAGAGGGGAAAAAGTGATTAAGTAAATATGAGATATTAATAATTTTTCAATCTAGGTAGTGGGTTTATGGTTGCTTCTTGCACTATTATTTGTTCTTTTCTGTGTGTTTGAAAATTTCCCTTTTTTTTTTAAACTGTGACTATGTTGGAGTCATTGCTGGAAAGAAGTTTAGAAAGAAAAGAGGGAAAGTCTGAAGGAGGTAAAGAAACTAATGTTTTGTTGAGTGCAGTAAGAACCATACATATATCAACTCATCTAACTTTCACAAAAATAATTTGTGAGGGGGGAACTATTGCTAGATTACAAGATAAGGAGTCAGCCTCAAAAGGTAAGCTTGCTCAATGTTAGGTAGTAATAAAGGCTGTTTGGCTCTGAAATTGGGCCTTTTTCACACTGCTTTGCCAAATGCATAGATATTGCCCTTCAGATTCAAAGATGACATTATTGATACATTTTCACTAGAATATGATCAGAAACTTTTTATCTTATGTTTAATAGCTCATCATTTTCCTTCAATTCTGAAGAGAAATTCCCAGAGTTTATGATCATGAGAATTACTTATTACATATTTGACTATTAATAAATTGTTTACCTTGTTATATCTTCTGTTAACTGTGCTGGGTCAGGTGGATAAAACTTTACACTTTACATTAAATGTGAAATTCCAAGGGATACCTGTAAAAATAAACGCAAAAGAATTTTATGCTTATGCCTAAGTTTCTAATACCTAAAAATATTCTATTTTTCCTATTTTTCCTGAGGTTTTAATATTTTCATGCTTTGTGAATGAAATATTTTTATTTTTATAAAATTTGTTTAGATACCACTTAAGAGGTAAAGTTAGAGGGTCTCATTTTTCTCTTACTCAACTTAATACAGTTTTGTTTACAAAAGACTAAAACTATATAGGCAAAATAAGAAGGAAACCATCTTATAGGTAGACATGTTTATAGCAATAGTTTTCAAAATATGATCTATACTAGTATACTACTGTGGGTGCTCAGAGGTCATATGAATGATACATGAATGTTCTCTTTTGGCAACAGCATTATTTATTTGTGACATCTCGCAATATAGGCATACCTCATTTTACTGAACTTTGCTTTATCGTACTTTGTAGATAATGTGTTTTTGTTTGTTTTTGGTTTGACAAATTAAAGGTTTGTGGCAACCCCGCATCAAGCAAGTCTATTGGTACCATTTTTCCAAAAGATTTAGATGATGGTTTGCATTTTTTAGCAATAAAGTATTTTTTAAAATTATTTATTGTTTAAAGTGTTACATGTCTCCTTTTTCCCCCACTGACTTCTCCCCAGCCACTCCCACCCCCCAGCACATGCCCTCAACCCCCTAGTGTTTGTGTCCATTGGTTATGCTTATATGCATGCGTACAAGTCCTTTGGTTGATCTCTTAACACCCTGCAACCCTCCCCTGCCTTCCCTCTGAGGTTTGATGATCTGTTTGATGCTTCTGTCTCTGGATCTATTTTTGTTCATCAGTTTATATTGTTCATTATATTCCACAAATGAGTGAGATCATGTGATATTTATCTTTCTCTGACTGGCTTATTTCACTTAGCAAAATGCTCTCCATGTCCATCCATGCTGTTGCGAATGGTAAGAGTTCTTTCTTATTTACAGCAGCATAGTATTCCATTGTGTAGATGTACCACAGTTTTCTAATCTACTCATATGCTGATGGGCACTTAGGCTGTTTCCAAATCTTAGCCATTGTAAATTGTGTTGCTATGAACATAGGGGTATATATATCCTTTCTGATTGGTGTTTCTGATTTCTTGGTTATATTCCTGCAAGTGGGATTACTGGGTCAAATGGGAGTTTCATTTTTAATTTTTTGAGGAAACTCCATACTGTTTTCCACAGTGGCTGCACTAGTCTGCATTCTCACCAAAAGTGCACAAGGGTTCCTTTTTCTCTACATCCTTGCCAGCACTTGTTGTTTGTTGATTTGTTGATGATAGCCATTCTGACAGGTGTGAGATGATACCTCATTGTCATTTTGATTTGCATCTCTCAGATGATTAGTGACTTAGAGCACGTTTTCATATGGCTCCTGGCCTTCCTTATGTCCTCTTTCAAAGAGTGTCTACTTGGGTCCTTTGCCCATTTTTTGATTGGACTGTTTATCTTCCTTTTGTTAAGATGTATGAGTTCCCTATAAATTTTGGAGATTAGACCCTTATCAGCTATAACATTGGCAAATATGTTTTCCCATGCAGTGGCTTTCTTGTTGTTTTGTTGACAGTTTCTTTTGCTATGCAGAAACTTTTTATTTTGATGTAGTCCCATTTGTTTATTTTATCCTTAGTTTCTATTGCCCTAGGAGCTATATCAGTAAAGATACTGCTATGACATATGTCTGATATTTTGCTGCCTGTGGATTCTTCTAAGATTTTTATGGTTTCTCATCTTATATTTAAGTCCTTTATCCATTTTGAGTTTATTTTTGTGTGTGGTGTAAGTTGGTAGTCTAGTTTCATTTTTTTGCATGTTACTGTCCAATTTTCCCAACACCATTTATTGAAGAGACTGTCTTGACGCCATTGTATGCTCTTGTCTCCTTTGTCAAATATTAATTGAACATAATGGCTTGCGTCGATTTCTGGGTTCTCTGTTCTGTTCCATTGGTCTATATGTCTGTTCTTGTGCCAGTACCAGGCAGTTTTGAGAACAGTGGCTTTGTAATATAGCTTGGCATCTGGTATTATGATCGTTCCAACTTTGTTCTTCTTTCTCAGGATTGCTGCAGCTATTCAGGATCTTTTTTTTATTCTATATGAATTTTTGAAGAGTTAGTTCTAGGTCTGTGAAGTATGCCATTGGTATTTTAATGGGGATTGCATTGAATCTATTGATTGCTTTGGGTAGTATGGACATTTTAATGATGTTGATTCTACCAATCCATGAACACGGTATATTCTTCCATTTGTTTATGTCTTCCTCTATCTCTTTTTTTCAATGTCCTGTAGTTTTCTGAATACAGGTCTTTTATTTATTTTTTTTAAATATGTCTTTATTGATTTCAGAGAGGAAGGGAGAAGGGAGAGATAGAAACATCAATGATGAGAGAGAATCATTGATTGGCTGCCTCTTGCATGTTCCCTACTGGGGATCAAGTCCGCAACCTGGGCATGTGCCCTTGACTGGAATTGAACCCGGAATCCTTCAGTCCGCAGGCTGACACTCTATCCACTGAGCCAAACCAGCTAGGGCTGAGTACAGGTCTTTTACCTCCTTAGAGCAATAAAGTATTTTTAAATTAAGGTATGTACATTGTTTTCTTAGCCATAATGCTTTTGCACACTTAATACACTACAATATAATATAAACATAACTTGTTTGTTGTTTTTAGTTTTCTGAATACAGGTCTTTTATTTTTTTTTTTTAAATATGTCTTTATTGATTTCAGAGAGGAAGGGAGAAGGGAGAGATAGAAACATCAATGATGAGAGAGAATCATTGACTGGCTGCCTCCTGCACGCCCCCCACTGGGGATTGAGCCTGCAACCCAGGCATATGCCCTGAGCTGGAATGGAATATGATCTTCTGGTTCAAAGGTCAACACTCAATCACTGAGCCACATTAGCCAGGCTTTTCCATTGATTTTTAGAGAGAGGGGAAGGAAGAGAAGGAGGGAGGGAGAGAGATACTTCAATTGGTTGCCACTCAATCTAAATCAAACATGCGACCCAGATATGTGCCCTTGACCTGGAATCAAACCTAACCACTGAGCAACACCTGCTAGGGCAAGGTAAAACATTTTTAAGCATACATTCATAGTAATAAAAACCATTAAAATATATAATGGACTCATTAACACAAAATTCAGAACAGTGGTGACTTCTGTAGGGGAAGGAGAGAAGGATATATTTAGAAGGGGCATACTTGGGCTATAGATTTTTTTAAAAACATAACTTGTGTACATTATATATCAGTGTTTTACTATATAGATGGGATTTCTTGCCTTTGCTCTATGCTATACCAGAAAGAAAGGTGTGGAGGTGCTAGCCTAACTCAGTAGGGGAGATCTTTCTTATTCAGAACCAATGGAATTAAAGAAAGCTAAAAATCAAGCTGCAAGGAGAGAGAAAGAGACTGATAAATCTCAGAAGAAGGTAAGGTTGGGTTAGAGGGAAATTTCAAAAAATGAGACAAAGTTATATATATATATATATATATATATATATATATATATATATATATATGTATATGTATATATATATATATGTGTGTATATATATATATACACACACACACACACACACACACACACACACTCTGTATATGGGTATACATGAAGGGAAAATATAGAAACATGGACTGAAAGGAATCACCCCGAATTCATGATAATAGATTTCTATGCATTGGGAGATGGGAATGGGACTAGGAGGAAAACAAGAGATAAACCTTGTATGGTTCTAGTTTAAATTAAAAATATTAACACATGGCCTGCCAGTGTGGCTCAGTAGTTGAGTCTCAACCCAGGAACCAAGAGGTCACAGGTTCAATTCCCAGTCAGGGCACATGCCTAGGTTGTGGGCTCAGTTCCCAGTGTGGGGCGTGGAAAGCAGCCAATCAATGAGGTTCCTCTCTCATTGATGTTTTTCTCTATAGCTCTCTCTCTAAAAATCAATAAAAACATTTTTAAAAGAAGAATGTAGAAGGCATATTAAAAAATGTTAACACATTAATTCTGGGTGATGAGTACATGGGTATTTGTTATAATAGACTCCATAGTTTTCTATATTTTTGAAATATGAAAAAAACGTTATTGATGACTACCTATTACAATTTAAAATATTCATATTTTTATTCTACTTCTAAGATTTTATCTACAGACATTTATAAGTACACAGATATATACTATATAAATAAAATATATGCTCACTGCAACCTTGTTTGTAATAGCAAAGTATTGAGATTAACCCAAAATTTCCATCAATAGTACTGGTTATATGTAATATGTCACAACTATATAATCATTTAAAAATTTTTAATGGATGAAATAAATGTATATATGTTGATGTGAAAAATACTCTGTATTGTGTTACATAAAAGACTGCATTTTTTAAAAATTTTTCTGTTAATCCTCACCAAGGATATTTTTTTTCATTGATTTTCAGAGAAAGTGGAAGAGAAGGGGAGAGACAGAGAGAGAGAAACATCGATTTGAGAGAGACACATTGCCTTCCACACATGCCACACCGGGGTCGGAATCAAGCCTACAACCAAGGTATATGCCTTTGACCAGAATTGAATCCGCAACGCTTCAGTCCCTGGGCCAATGCTCTAACTACTGAGAAAACTGACTAGGGCTGGTTGCATATTTATATTAAATACATATAAATATTAAATGCTTATATCAAAACATACATGTTAAATACATATTTATATTAAGACACATATGTAAATACATATTTATATTAGAATACACATTTGTGAGCACATGTGTCTATATACACTCAAAACATCTCTGAAAAAAAACACAAGGAATCGGTTAAAGGACAGAGGTAGAAGGGAGATTTACCCTGTGCTATTTCATTTACATCTTTTAATTTTATACCATATATTTTCTATTGCCTATTTTAAAAATTAATTTTAAAAACAATATATAGTATAATACACATATTATGTAATACATAATACATAGCAATGTATAGCATAATTGTATTTGTGAAAGGTGAAATCTACATATGCCTAAAAAAAAAATCTTGTAGACTATACTAATTTAATAGTGCTTAAATCTGGAGGACAGGATTAGGGGCCTTTTACTTTTTCCATGATTTACTTTCATAATGTTGAAATTTTTCACAATGAGTATATATTACTTGCATGGTGAAAAATAATTTTAAAAAACTTTTGCAGCCCTAGCTGGTTTGGCACAGTAGATAGAGCTTTGGCCTATGGACTGAAGAGTCCTAGGTTAATTCCGGTCAAGGGCATATGCCTGGGTTTGGGCTCAATTCCCAGTGTGGGGCATGCAGCAGGCAGCTGATCAATGATTCTCTCTCATCATTGATGTTTCTATCTCTCTCTCCTTCTCCCTTCCTCCCTGAAATCAATAAAAATATATATGTATTTTTAAAAACTTCTGCAATAAATAAATATCAATCTTCTTTCTCTTTGGCTAAATGAAATGCTTACATTTTGATTCCCTATTAAAGTTTGTTTTAGGAACACAGTCTTTCCTATGTTGAAGTAAGGATTTTTTAAATTATTTTTTAATTTAAAAAAATGACAAACACTTAGAGTTTTTTTCTTAGCAAAAGATTTTTTTATAGCCCTGACTGGTTTGGCTCAGTGGATAGAGCGCCGGCCTGTGGACTCAAGGGTCCCAGGTTCGATTCCGGTCAAGGGCATGTATCTTGGTTGCGGGCACATACCCAGTAGGGAGTGTGCAGGAGGCAGCTGGTGGATGTTTCTCTCTCATCGATGTTTCTAACTCTCTATCCCTCTCCCTTCCTCTCTGTAAAACATCAATAAAATATATTTTTTTTTAAAAAGATTTTTTTATAGCCAGAAAGATAATCTACCAGCTACTCTTCTCTACTTATTATAAACTGTTCTAACATTTCTTCCTAAAGAGTCTTCTTGTATAATCACTTGTTCCTAAGTAAAATTGAATATTAAAAGTATTTTCATTGAAAAGGGCAAGGAGTTAAGTTTTTCTGGTCATGTTTCAAATATGCTGAGTATTTTTTTGACTTGCATTTTAAAACAAGATTTTATAGGCTGGGAGCAAATATGGAGAGTTGCTAGTTCAAAGGAGTATTTTATTTCTCTGTCTTAAGAAATATAATTATAGCCCTAGCCAGTTTGGCTCAGTGGCTAGAGCATCGGCCTGTGGACTAAAGGGTCCCAGGTTCGATTCCGGTCAAGGGCACATGCCCGGATTGTGGGCTCGATCCCTAGTGGGGGGTGTGCAGGAGGCAGCCAATCAATGGTTCTCTCTCATCATTGATGTTTCTATCTCTCTCTCCCTCTTCCTTCCTCTCTGAAATCAATAAAAATATATATATACAGTGGGGTCTTGACTTACGAGTATCCCGACTAACGAGTTTTTCGAGATATGAGCCGTCTCTCGGCCAATTTTTTGCTTTGAGTTGCGAGCTAAAATTCGGGTTACGAGCCAGCTTCAGATACCCCACTGCTAGTTGGCGCAGCGAACGTCACAGTGAACGCCACAACATCAGCCCAGCATCACCTGTCTCACTCGTTCACTTTTTGATTTGACATACGAGTAATTTGAGTTACGAGCTCCACCAGGGAACGAATTAAACTCGTAAGTCAAGGCCCCACTGTATATATAAATAGGGTCTAAAGGAAAACATTTCACCATAATAAAAGTGTTTTCTTTTAAGAAACAAATAAAAAAATGTTTCCAGGTGATTAAAAGTTAAAACTTCTAATCATGATGAATAACATCTTTCAGTTCCTAGAAGCTTCCTCAAAATAAACTAAATTAAAAGGACATCTAGTCATAAATGGGGTGTTGGGGAGAGAAAGTCTCTATCCTTTAGCCATCCCATTGGGCCTAGGTCTAGAAAATACTAATTTATACTTTACTGACCCAGAAATATCTATTCCTAGATATTAGTTGGAGCAGGGTGTGCAGCAGTAATATGTTCTAGAGCAGCAGTTCTCAACCTGTGGGTCGCGACCCCTTTGGGGGTCGAATGACTCTTTCATAGGGGTCGCCTAAGACCATCGGAAAACACATATATAATTACATATTGTTTTTGTGATTAATCACTATGCTTTAATTATGTTCAATTTGTAACAATGAAATTGGGGGTCACCACAACATGAGGAACTGTATTAAAGGGTCATGGCATTAGGAAGGTTGAGAACCACTGTTCTAGAGGGTTTGAAGCTAGGAGAAAGCCACAACGTCAAAAGGATCATTGGCAAAGAATTCTTATTATCTATTCTTATACTTCAATTTGGAAGAAGAATGTTGAAAAGGGACAAAACGAACTGTAGAGAGGAAAACATGGAGACGGTTAGAATGCAATAGTCCAGAACATTTTAAAAGGAACAGGATCAGGCAGCATACTTCTAATTGAGGGCTGCTACAGTTTCAATCACTACCCTTTTGAGAACTGACTCCCCTATCCTTTTTCTCTTTTCATCTCTGTTCTTTTCCACCTTCTGATTCTCTCAACCTTTCTTCCCCAACTTTGCCTAGTTGTAAAAAGGAAAAACAAAATCATCAAGATCTGACCTACATCTTAACATTGTCCACCACTGCTGTACCTCTCTATTATGGAATCTCCTCCTTCCAGGGGCAGGCTTTATCTCAATTTCAAAGCCATCTACTATAGTCAGGATTCTAAAGTGACCCACAGCCAGAAAATGGTTGGAAGTCCGCTGACCTACTAAAAGAAAGAATTATACAAAAAGGCAATATTTACTTACCACGAACCTGCTTTTTTATTTCTTTGGCAGAATCCAGCCATGTCTGTAAAAAGAAGAAAAGGCATTCATACAAATTTCCAAAACATAAACAAGAGAGTACCAGAAGCAGGATTACTGACCATTTCAAATAGTGCCTCTAGGTCAACCTACATTTCCAATATTCTTGTATTAATTTCACACAGCATAGAAATATGAAGCAGAGAAATATAAAGCCAGACAGTTGGGCTGGAATCCTAGCTCCACTACTTCCTAGCTGAGTGTCCCTTTTTAGGCATCTCTATACCTCAGTTTCCTTATCTACAGAATGAAATAGTAGTAGTAGTGCCTATCTCATAGAGTTATTATGAAGATTAAATGAATTAATGTATATAAAGCTCTTAGTAAACAAGAAATGCTAAATAAGCACTTGTTATTTTTATTACACTATAACAACTAGTAGAGACTATAACCAGGATTATTGACATCACCTAGATCTTATTTTTCCAGCTTTTCTATGTCAGCACAGCATCTGGCACATGGTTCATACTCAGTTAATGTTTACTGAATGACTATTTTATTTCCCCTGACTACTCTTGTCCACATTAATCCCTCCCCTTCACTGTTTTCCAATCCCACTTAAAATCTGCCCAGCACTGTAGTGAACCATATAAAATAATTGTATGTGAAAAGAGCCTCCCCCTTAACATCTTTCATAGGCTCCTTGGGAAACGTTTAAAGACAGAAAGTTCTAATTTGAATTGCTTCAAAGATTTTATTGACATAAGATGCATATAGAAAAGTACATAAATTACCAAAGCAAATATATAACAACACTAGAGTCCCAGTGCATGAATTCGTGCATGGGTGGGGGCCGGCTGGCCCCGCCCTGATTGGGGTAGAGAGGGCCGATCGGGGCTGAGGCTGGCCGGAGGGAGGGGCCGCGGGAGGTTGGCCAGCCAGCCCAACTCTGATAGGGGTGGGGGTGGGCCGATCGGGGGTGGGGCCGGCCTGGGAGAGGGGCCGCGGGTGGTTGGCCAGCCAGGGGAAGAGGCCATGGGAGGTTGACCGGCCGGCCCCACCACCCCGCAGTGCAAGTCATAGCGACAGGTCATCCTGGTCGTTCTGGCCATTCCGGTTACTTAGGGTTTTATAGAGAGATTACCAGCATCCCAGGAGCTCCTCTCACACCTCTTCCCAATCCCTTCCCATTCCCTCCACTAAAAAGTTTAAAACTGAATTTTAGTGGTATTTAGACAAGAGAAGTAAGGTGTTCCCTCTTCACTCTCTACCAACAAGGGCAAAGCACAGGTGACCATCCCATTTGCCCTACCAAAGAAATGAGCTTGAACACCACAATTTTCTATTTAACCACATACCACTTTAACTGTTATATAAAGACTAGAGGCCTGGTGCACAACATTCGTGCACTGGGGGAGCGGGGGGGGGGGGGGGGGTCCCTCAGCCCGGCCTGCACCCTTTAGCAGTCTAGGAGTCCTCAAGGGATGTCCGACTAACAGCTTAGGCCCGCAGTTGGACATCCTTAGCGCTGCTGCAGAGGCCGGAGAGGCTCCCTCCACCACTGCTGAGATCACCGGCCATCAGCCTGGCTTGTGGCTGAGCAGTGCTCCCCCTGCGGGAGCACACTGACCACCAGGGGGCAGCTCCTGCATTGAGCGTCTGCCCCCCGGTGGTCAGTGCACTTCATAGCGACCGGTCATTCTGCCGTTTGGTCGATTTGCCTATTACCCTTTTATTATATAGGATAGTTACTATAACAGACAATAAGCACAAGAGTGAGGACTAGTTTCCTTTTATCTCCCCTGCTTCCACAATTACAACAGCCGATTAAGAAATATATGTTAAAAATAGTACAATATAAAATTAATCTATAGTATAAAACTAGGCACACAGTTGTCTAAGGCTGTCAGAAAGGGGTAACCTGGGTGTTTCTTCTTTGTCTCTCATTAAGACCAAAGAAATTTAAGTTGTTTATAGACACTATAATGCAAGTAATCTAGGTTTCACTGCTTACATGTTTTAAAAAGCCACATTTAGACTGGCTGGTGTGGCTCAGTGGTTAAGCCTCAACCCATGAACCAGGAGGTCATGGTTCAATTCCTGGTCAGGGCACATGCCCAGGTTGCGGGCTCCATCCCCAGTAGGGAGCATGCAAGAGGCAGCCAATCAATGATTCTTTGTCATCACTGATGTTTCTATTTCTCTCTCCCTTCCTCTCTCTGAAATCAATAAAAACATATTTTAAAAATAAACAAGTCCACTAGTGATGTCAACCCAAATCTTCCTAGCAAAAGATAAGATCCCCCAAATGGCCTCCTACTCTGCAAGTATGTTTACAAAATTTATTTTAGTCTTTCTCATTTACCAGACAATAAAGACACAATCATAACTGGCATTTGCCCTTCAAAGCCAGTCATGAATCAATAGAACACAATCCATCCTTTCAGATAACTAAAAACTAAATTCCTCACACTCTTAATGTAATATTCATTATACTGGTGTTTGCTATTTGCCTGTGAAAGGTGATTTTCCCACTCCTAAGGTAAAATAATTCATCCACACATTCATCTATTACTCTATTCCTCACTCCCTATAGTAAGCCAGGCTGGATGGCTCCTAGATCCTCCAATGCTACTCTTTCAACTCCAGGCCTTTCTCTCTCCACTTCACTAGCCCATTTTATCCTGCAGTCTCAGCTTAGGCATCAGCTGTCCAGAGAGGACTTCCCTGGCTACATTCTCCCATGACGTCTTGTACTTCCATTTGTATGACACTCATCACACTTCACTGTAAGCTCCAGAGGGCAAGGACTATGTCTACCTATTTACAGCTATATCCATATCATCTAGTATAGCACCTGCAAATACTTGTTAAACTGAACTAAAGTCTTCATCATTAAATTTTGAGCTAAATATTTGCAATTTTTAGTTAATTGGCCCAGGAAATAATTCAAGTTTTCTGAAGTAAATACTTGACTTCTGCCTGGCCAGCATGTCTCAGTGGTTGAGCATCGACCTATGAACCAGGAGGTCATGATTCGATTCCTGGTAAGGGCTCATGCCTGGTTGTGGGCTCGATCCCCAGTGTGGGGCGTGCAAGAGGCAGCCGATCATTGGTTCTCTCTCATCATTGATGTTTCTATCTCTCTTCCTCTCTGAAATCAATAAAAAAATATATTTTTAAAAAATCCTTGACTTTTAACCTTTCTTCCCTCCTCTATATTCTCACACTTTTTTTATTTCCTTCAATTAACTTTACTGGTTTTCTTTTAGGTTGGAAGAAAATGTCAGATTCATTGTATAAGTGTTTAGCAATATTGGGACTTTATTCTCTTTTATAATGTTACTTTCAAATTATAAGTATGCAGCGGCAAAAGTAGGTTTACAGTTGTTCATATGGAAAATAATACAATAATTAATAAATAATAATACAAGGATAAACTCTGTGTTTTGCATACTCCCAACTATAAACCTACTTTTGCCAATCCCTGTATATCATAATTATCCTATAATTATAGTCAGATAATTATGATAGAACCATCCATTCAACAAAAATTTATTATAAACCTGCTACATACTAGATCAAATACTAATCGCATAATACATAAGGTTATTGGTATATATTTGCTAATCAGGATATCAAAGTTCTGTACTTTGCCTGTCTTTTAAAACTAAACAATAGATACTGTCAATGATGAAAGAACACAGCAGCAATGATATTTTTTCTTTAAAATTTTCATTCTAGTCTAGAGAAATAAGAATAACTCTAAGTGTACCGTGTCTTGTAGAGGCAGGCATAAATACATTAATTAACAACACAGCTTCTTACATTACCAGCAATTTCCTCACCTTGGAGGTTTCATTATCCCAAATGGCTAGACCAAAGTAGTCTTCTTCCAAAAGATTGAGGTGCTCACACACTCGCTTAAGTAAATCTTGTCCTTTTGCATGTTTCTGCAAAGATATACATATTTTAGTTGAGGTTTCCTCTTATTCCTGTATTCATCACCAAATAAAATAAAATGTCATTTTTCAATTTCCTCTTTTATCTAGTTTAAAAAATAGCTAATAGCTAACATTTAAGTGGATCACACAGTATAGTAGAACAATGTGAGTTATAAAAATCTTGCTTCATAATTTGTCAACTTATATATGCAACACACTTACAATGGCTTGGAAATAATGCTACAATTCAAAGCAAAATTCCAGCTTTCCTCCATCTACCACCAGCTCTTCACCTCCTTCCTAAACATAACATTCTTTATTTTTTGGTGCAATATTTCCTGAAGCTTGCTATGGGCTGCTGTCAGTCATCATGACCATCTGAATTAACTGAACCAACTGCTGACATTGACAGTTAGTGGCTATGGAAATTATTATACTCTATCATTCCCAGACCAAATGTCCCAAGAGAATAAACTATGTCTCAAGTCCGTTCAATCTCTTTCAGAAAAAATGCATGGAGTGTAAAATTCTAGATACCTACATATACTAACTATTGCAGTTGCTCTTTCAGATGTGCTACGAATCATTTTCTTAATATCTCTTTACCTAGAAAATAAACAACTGCCAAATGTGGGTACTTATATTCCTGTTTATAGTGAGGAAATGCCCTAACTTAGAAGCTAAGATTTAGAGTAAAAAAATCCTGGCTCTTCCATATACTAGCTAAATAATCTGAGTCTATTTAATCACTCTTTCTGAACATTGCTTTTGTATTTACGCCTGTCCTACCTATTGACTGGAACAGTTGGGGGGTGGGGGGGAAGAATCAAATGTGCTAATTAATGCCTTCTGATAAATATATTTTTTAAATGTCAAAACCTAGAAATAATTTTTGGAACATATACATGGCATGTCCTTCTCTCAATCAGCTGAGTTATTTTTAATGACTATTAGTAATTCATATAGATGTTAACTCACTTTCAGACTTAACCCATTCATATTACATCATTTTCTCATCTATGTTTTCACTCTAAATGACATAGATGATTTGGGAATTCTTCACAACAATTGCTTTATATCAAGCATATAATTGACAATTACTGCTCTAGTTTAAAAAATAGCTAACAGATTTTTAAGGATTTTAACTTGTCTTGAAGGAGCAAAAGAGTAACTGAATAACTCACATTTTTATTCAATCTTGATTCAATTTTTTATTCTTTCAGAAAATCGAGAATTTTAAGAATTGGCATTACTTGATTTAAATTTTTTATATCCTATATAATGGGGATAAAGAAATACATTAAATAAACTAAAGCTTATCAAGGTTTAGAGAGGAGAGCAGAAGTGAACACATAGTAAATTTTTTTTACAAATATAATTTGGCTCTGGCTGGTGTGGATCAGTTGGTTGGGCATTATGCCATGCCCAAAAGGCTGCAGGCTTGATCCCCAATTGGGGGAGCATGCAAGAGGCAGCCTTTCGATGTTTTGCTCTCACATGGATGTTTCTCTCTCTCTCTCCCTCTCTTCCACTCTCTCTAAAAATCAATAAAAATATTTTTAAAAATTTGTTTTGATTATAAAAGTAACATATACTCAATTCACAAGATTTGACAGATGCAGAAAAAAAACCTGAGGAAAAGAGACTCACTCATAATCAATCCTTCTACACCTCTACCTCCAGAAAAATCACTATTAACATTTAAGCCCATAGAAATTGTCATTATACTGGGTCTTATCTCAGGCCATCACACCACTTACCCAATCCTACATGAAATAATTTGTAAGAATTCTAACCACCAAAACTTAAAATGTACTTACTTCTACAACACATTCATAAACTGTGTCATCCAACAAAGAAACCTTGCAATGCATGTTTCTGTGTCTTCTGATTGATTTCTGGGAAGCTTTTAATTCTCTTTCTGCTTTTGATTCAGGGCTTTCTTCTTTCACTTCTATTTTAGAGCACTCTTCAACTCCTCCTCCTTCCTTAGTTTCAAAATCTGGATCTTCTGTGCGTTCTTCCTGAGCAGGCTACATATGCATGACATCACCAAGTCAATAATAAAGACATTTAACAAAACATGCTGTATATACTTCTACCTATAATAAGGCTACCACTAACAGTACTAACTGAAGAAGAAAAACGGTTGAAACAAATATAAGTGATGCTAATATTAAATAATTATTTTTCTATAAAAGATATTACGATCTCCCAAAAGAACTACAGACTCTCCTATTCTTAAAACTACATAACAGAAGGTAGAATCCCATTTTTCAAATCAATAAATGAAGGTTTCAGGTAAATTAGAGGACACCATTCTGTTGCTTTCAGCATTATATATTCTTCCTGATTATGCCATTATATAATTTTAAAGCCTATCAAAATTTTAACATCTCTGTGCCATGCTCCTCAATTTTAACAAGGTAGCGTAATGAATTGCAAAATGAGATGTGATTTGTCATGTATTCAAAATTTTATGAATGGCTAAGAGGGGTTCTTGGGACCAATTTTAGAGCACAAAGCAACATATATAGTAGGCTAACTGTAACTACCAATTAACTGATACCAGGTATCAATCATGATAAATACAAAGAAGGTTTAAAGAAGCAAGAGACAAATTGAAATATGGGTCTCCTGGTGCCTGAACTGTTATGAGGCTATTTTTTTTTACCTCTATCCATCTTTGAATGTATCTTCGTATAACTTACATTTATATCCCAAAGTGATACAACTAAGTGGAATAAGATTTTGGCAGACTTTTTTCAAGCACGACAAAATTCTTTTCATTTAAAAGAATACATGGCTGACTTTTAGGAAAAATAATTTAATTATTTGGCGCCTGCATTACATGTTGGAAGAGGTCTGTCTAAAAGGAGCCTTCCAAACCTCATGACCCTCTTAAATGCAACCTCTTCAGAGAGGCCTTCATTGGGTATCCTACCCATCCTATTCTTCACATCAGTACCTTCTGTGTTGCCTTCATAACACTTATTATGATAAATAATTATTTGTATTTACCACTTTTTGTCTCCTCCATTAGACTATAAAGTCATCAAGAGTAGGGATGATATTTGTTTTATAAAAATAAAGCAAACATTTACATAACAAATACAAAAGCATTACTCATATGAACTCATTTTATCTTCATAATAAACTCTGGGGAGGGTACTATTATTATCCCCATTTGACAGATAAGAAACTGAAGCCAGAGAAATTCAAGTAACTTGGGATCATACAGTTAATAAGTCACATATCAGTCTGGCTCCAAAATTCATCATATCAAACTTCTTTACTATATTATAGTTTTTATTTACTAATGTATATTCAGGGTCTGGTACACATAGTAGGTTTTCAATAAACAATTGTTTAATGAGTAAATAAATATTAAAAACTGACACATGGCTTCCAACAAAATCTAAGGCACTCTAGATGAAAAAATAGTACAGTCCTATAAGGCAAACACACTTTGTTAAAAATTCTGGATAGAAAAGGACCAGGCAAATGAAATTCTCCTACAAGTAAGAAATATGGTTAAGCAATAAGGTTCTGATCCACAATGCTGTGATTTTAAATACTAGCTTCCATAAAGCCCTAAATCAGTGGTTCTCAACCTTCTGGCCCTTTAAATACAGTTCCTCATGTTGTGACCCCCAACCATAAAATTATTTTCGTTGCTACTTCATAACTGTAATGTTGCTACTGTTATGAATCGTAATGTAAATATCTGAAATGCAGGATGGTCTTAGGCGACCCCTGTGAAAGGGTCGTTCGACCCCCAAAGGGATCGCGACCCACAGGTTGAGAATCGCTGCCCCAAATAGTTTGCTCCTTTAAACAATATCCTCTTGAAATTTTATTATTTATTTTATTTCTTTTTCTTTATATGTAGATAAATACCTAAACACAATTTATCCCAATTCTGAATTAATGAAATTTCAATGAATGAGATTTTAAATAAATCTAGAATTAATTTTGTCTGTCATGTGTTTCAACTTCAGTACAAATACTATGATCTTTAGACAAAATGACCCTGATTCAAATGCTAACTACAATGAGATATGGATTTTTTCCCTACATAAAGCAGAGGACCCAAAAAAGCAGTTAAAAACCTCTTGAAAGTACCAGGCTTCCTGAAAGAGGGTAGAATTTAACTATTGGTATTCTTCAAATAAAATTAACAATATTAAGATATGTAGTGTATCTTGGCCTTTACTGAGTAACAATAACTAACATTGAGTGCTTACTAAATGCCAGGCAATAACTTGAGACTTTACATGTTTATCTCTTTTAATCCTCATAATTGCCAAATGAGGTGGATATTATTATCCTCAGAGGAGGAAAACGATAAAGCAAAAGTGTCACTTCTCTGTGATTTGAACCCTCTAGTCTGATTTCATAACCTGCATTCTTAACTATTACACTATATAGTAAATCTTATGTTCAATCTTGTTTCACTACTAGCAAGTATGTAATTACAACTTTATCCTAAATTTTACTCTTAGCACGTTTATTATACAATATTTCTAGAAATACATGTAATACTTTAGAAAATTCTAATAAAACTGTATAGCCCAAACCTGAGACCTATGAACTATATATATAAAAGCCTAAGCGACTGTATGACCAGTCGCTATGACGCGCACTGACCACCAGGGGCAGACGCTCAATGCAGGAGCTGCCCCCGGTGGTCAGTGCGCTCCCACAGTCAAACTCTTGCAGTCGGCCAACCTCCCGTGGTCTCTCCCCACTAGCCAGCCCTGATCAGCCCCTATGGACCCTGATCGCCGGCCAGGCTGAGGGACCCCACCCGTGCACAGATTCATGCACCGGGCCTCTAGTAAAAATATATAGGACTTAGACTTTTACAATGCAGATAATACTCACATGCTTCAGAAATAAAAAGACTGAAAATTTCCCCATGTTTTTGGACAAATGAACAAATCCAGAGCTCATGTTTAGTTAGCTACACTGGTGACACAATTAAGACCTCAAATTACTATATATTACAATGGTGATATAAAGACCTAGACTTTCTCATCTGTATCTTATACTCTGTGGTAATATGATCCAGTTAGAAAAGATGACAAAAATAAGGCAGGCATGGCTCAAATCTATCACATACCTCTGGATGGCTTGAATCTATCACATGGCTTTAATGAGATTTCCATTAAAAAATCATGTCTGCTGATAACTATCCCATTCCTAATAACTCCAACAAAATTAACTCTAAACCACCTGAATTCTTTTTTCCCTTTTATTAAATATCATGGATATGTTCCACAATAACAGTAAAATGTTATATAGGCTGAATAAATTCATTTGATAAGTTCTTTTCTTTCATTTTGTTTTCTTTGATTTATACCGTATAAGAAGAATCAAGTTTCCATTGACTACATTTATTTCCTTATTTTTTTAGTTTTATTTTTTAATTATAGTTTACATTCAGTATTATTTTGTATTAGTTTCAGGTATATGACATAATGGTTAGACAATCATATACTTTACAAAGTAGTTCCCCTGATATTTCATCTGGCGCCATACATAGTTATTACAATATTATTGACTATATTCCCTGTGCTGTACTTTACATCCCCATGGCTACAGTAATTTCTTTAGAGCAGAAACTCCAAAGCTTCATGTTACTTATTACTATCAATCCCAAGTCAACTGGCTAATAACAAATAAAACCTAATGTTCTTAAATGAAAAATAAAGTGTCTAACCTACCTTCATTACACCCACTTCCCACACATTCACATATCCTTACCTGTGTTTCTGCACTGCTTAATGAGTGAAGATCCAAGGATGGGTCTGTTTTGAGTTCAGGTTCAGGAGCTGCAATTGGGGCCTTTAAAATGACTTCTTCATCAAGACTGGTTGCAAATTCTATGTCTTTCTGACCTTCTTCACCTTTCTCTTTAGCTGACTCTACTTCTTTGCCTTCTTCCTCAGAGACCTGAGATTTAGGCCTTTTGAGAAATGAGGAGAACAGCCGTGACAGGCCCCTGTTTTCTGATGTCCGCTCTTTGTTCTTGGTCAAGTCTTCATGTGTAGGAGTGTCTCCATTAGATGTTTTCAGCTTCTGCTCACACTGATTATCTCCCTCAGCTGCTGCTTGAGAAACCTCTCCCAGCTGAGTTTCTTGTTGGCCTGAGTTTATAGCTCCCTCTCCCTCTTCCTTCTGTTGTTGGTGCTGTGAATTTTCAGCCTCAGCCACTAAACTCTTCTCTGTTGTCATGATGTTGCTATTAAAAAGAAGTTGGAAAAGGAGGCTATTATAAGCAAAACACATTACCGTAGGCGAAACCCTAAATCAGGTCAAGTGTGCTAAAATTAATATATTTAGGTATTTAATCGCCAACAGACAATACTGCAGTCCATTAAACATTAGGCTTTCCATTAAAGCACGAAAGTATTTACCAATACATCCTGAATAAATTATTAATGCCTTGTCTTGCTAAAGATATTCACAGAGAAATTAGCTTAAAATAGTACCCCTTGAGGTCACCTTAATGAAATATATCATATTTTAAATTCAATGCTCAGAACTGTATAGAGCAAACAGTTTATCCTGCCTAAAAAAGGATCTTATTTGTATAATGTCTTCTGAGGGTATCAATCTGAAGGTGCAAGGTTGCAAGAATTATTCCTCTATACCCCAAAAGATGAGATGAAAAGCCCCCCCCAACTCTTTAATGTTCTTTCTCCCCTATATTTCTTAGAATGCATAGACTTCTCTATTAAGAACAACAAATTCAGAATTCTGATCATTTATCAAACTTGATGACAACAACAATGACAAGTTAAAAGAATCACACACAAAATTCCTTAGGTTTTCCTGTTGCAATACTAAATTACAGGGTTTTATAGAAGTATCCCACTTTAAGTTCTTTAAGACCTTTTTCCTCTGACAAATGTGATTTTGAATGCTCAGCATTTTTAAGAGTAGGCAGTTAAACTACTACAGTGTAAAGAAATAATAGAGAAAAAGAAACAAAATAGAGAAGAAAATTTTAGAAAGCAAACAATTCAATTGTAGGAAAGGAGGAGAAGGTAGGTTATAGACCTCACAAATTTCAAATTTGTTGGTTTCCAGCCTCTTGATCTCAAAATCCCAGTATTATTAATCAAGCCTTACAATAATAGCCAAAAAGCACTGTCATACCTTGTGACCAAATAATAACCAACACACAAGGTAACTTTTGAGACACTAGGCAATGAAGTTGACTATTGATGATCTTACACTTTGATTCACTGTTACTAGTATATCTGAAAGTACTCCACTCAAAAAGCAGCATTTATGTTGTCTTTACATCTGCTCCATACTATTTACATGAAGAAATTGTATTTGGATGCTAACAATCTGAATTAATTAACTATATTTAGTTCATTCCCTCCTCAGGCCCTTCGCACTTGCTCTTCTCTCTACTTAGGATGATGTTCTTCTCCAAAGCTGATCTTCTTCTCATTATTACCTTCTCTGCTCAGAAGTCACCTCCTTAGGCCTCCCACATACACCCTGTCTAAAGTAGTGGCCCTTTGTCCTTCAGATGGCCTCTCACCACTACTGCACTTATTATTATCTACAATTATCCTGTTACCTTATTTGTTTACTGGTTTAGTGTCCTCTCCCTTTTTCTCCCCCAGCTAAAATGTAAGTTCCATGAAGACAGAATAATACCTGGCACATTATAGACCTTCATAAAAGTTTGTTTAATTCATTCACTTCAACTGAATAAACCTGACAAATATAAACTGCAAAGGCATTCTCTAAATTTATTCAAGCACATTTACTTCAAATGCATGACTATTCAACAAATCCTTATCAAGCACCTAGCGCATAAGGCTGATCAGAATTAAATAAATAAATAATCACAAAAAGAAATAGTCTATGGACCAACAAACTCATCCTGACAAACCTGTTTTACATGTAGCCAAATTATTCACATTACAAATGATAGAATGGGTAACCAGTGGAAAAGATACAAAGAAGTCAAGCAGTAAAACAGGATAAATACTCTACAAATAGGCCCTTCCTCTGTAAATAATACTATTTTTCATTCTGGATAAAAAATCCAAAAGGAGATAACTGTTTATGTAATGTCAGAAAGAGGTCTTCTGATTTAAAAAAAAAATCAGAACATCACTGAAGATAAAGTAATGAATTCCCATTCCATTTCAATCCTAACCCTCCAAACCCTAGGAATTACACCCCATCTGGTATCAAAGATACACTTGTTTTAACAGTGAGCATCTGTTGACTTCAGGCAAATCAGATCTTTAAAAACCTGATACTAAGCAGATTGCAAGTGCTGGACTCTATCTTTCACCTTTTTTGTATCTCTTTCTAACATTAGTACGGTCAGTACTCCATTAATGCTTCTTGGGTGGAAAACTTTATAAAAACAGTACAGTTTGGCACCACTAAGAAAATTTCCCTTACAATCACCATTTAGGGATAAAGTTTAATGATTTACTCTTCAAATTAGCTCACGGAACACCTATAAATGTTTACTGGGTGCTAATCATGCATAAAGTTTTGGCTCAGCTCTTTGAGAGGGACTAAAAATGGGTAATACACAATTCTTAAGGAACTAAGACATATACAGCCCTATAGGGTCTACTTCCAAAATATAGTAAGTAGTCCCGACTGGTTGGAATAGGGATATAAAAGGGAAGTAGAAAGAGGTAAGGTTATATAGTTACCATTTAAAATTATTCTAGGTTATGAGGCTTGATGAAAAAGGTGAAGGGATTAAGAAACAACCAAAAAAAAAATACTCAGACACAGACAACAATAAGGTGATTACCACAGGGGAAGGGGGGTGAGGGGAGGTAGAAGAAGGTATGTGGGGAGGGGAGGAAAAAGAATAAAATAATTCTAACTGAAATAATAATAATAGTAGCTACCATTTATTGAGCACCTACTAAATACCATATATTATTCTACATACTTCACCACTTACAACCATTCTATAAGGTAAGTGTCTTCATTGCCCAGATAAACAGGTTCTGGGAGGTTAAAATTTTTTCCCCTCAGATTATAAAACTAAGCCATGCTTTAATGAAACTATTAATATACTACAGGGTAGTGATTCTACTGTAAATTCCCAGGATAGTACTTGTCTTTCTAAAACTTGGTACTTCAGACGCTTCTACTCCACTGTTCTCTGCTAAAGAAGCCCCTATCTGTTAAAAATTTAAGAACAGGCTATTCAGTCTGGCCAAGACCACCTCTGTTCCCACAAGTCTCAAGTCCCCCATTTATTTACATATTTATCTTTCCATACAGTGTATGTAAAGATAGAATGGGGAGACAGGGAAAGACAGGCAAAGAGGAGATTTTTAAAAAGGACTTGAATAACATGCTAAACAGTTTGGACTTTATCCTGAAGGCAATGGAGAACCACTGAAGGTTTCTAAACAGTGAAGTGGGTAAACAAAGTGAGGGCGGGAGAGGCTAGAGAAAGAAAGAAACTTGGCAAACGACTGAGTAAATTCAGGTTATCAGTGAATAAATTCACAATGGGAATCCCTAGGGAAGCGGAAACAAATACCGAGCAGAGAAATTTGAAAAGCCTTTGCAACCAAAGCTTAAGAATGACTGTTGCCCTTATTTTCATTAGCATGCTTATTCTCTAGCTTATTCTCCAGCTTATTTTTATTATGCTTCTCATTAACCCAAGCAGTTTCATGTCTGAGTCTGTCATTTTTATAATCACCTTCCTTGACCCACTCTGATAAACAGCTTAATAAATGAGGGATAGCAATACAACCAAAACAGAAAAGAGAGGGAAGAGAGATGGGTATCTCACAGGCATCTCAATACACATGTCCAAAAGTAAAGTCTTGATTCTCTCTTCCTGTCCCAGTAAATTGTTCAATCATATCATTCAGTAGCTCAGACCAGATACATAACCATCATCCTTGTCTCAGTCTTCTCCATTTCCCTTCCCAATAAAATCTATGTCAATCCTATAGAGTCTACCTCCAAAATATATTTAGAATCAGTCCACCTTTCCTCTTCTCTACTGCTACCATGCTTATGTAAGCTTCTTTCACTTCTCACTGAACTACAGATCCTTGAATGATGATCTCAACAACCTCACCATGTTCTATTTTCTTCCTTGCCTCTATAGTCACACTAGTCAAGTGCTTTCCTGCCTTAAATTGTTGGTACATGCCATTTTCTTAGACTGGAACACACCCCATCCCTTGCAACAAGTCTAGTTTCTTCTTATAGTTCAAGTTCCAGCTAGAATAAGTCCTCCTTAGGCAATCTTCCTTGACTACCCTAACATCTACAAAACTCTCCCCATAAGTCACTTCCCAGTCCTCTATTCCAGAACCTATTTATTTCCTTCACAGAATTCTCTCAGTGTGTAAGAACATACTTGTTGTTTACCTGTGTAATATCTGCCTTCCCCACTGCACCATCATCTACATTGTAATATCCATGACAGAAGGGCTGTTTCCACAGTACATATACCTAGTACCTAGCACAGAACTTGTGCCACCTAGCACAGAACCTAGTACTAGCACAGAACCTAGTGCCTAGTACAGAACACTGTAGGTATTCAGTAAATATTTGTTCCGTAAATGAATTACTATAAAGAAAAAGAATTTAGGTTTAACAATATCAATTATACACGTACAGGCTGAAGGTTATACAATTTGAGATAGTTCACAAGAAAAGGATGTTGAGGTCTTGATTGAACATGCTCCAGAGATAAAATTCTAAAATAGCTAACTTTACTGCATTTCTAGATTTATAGGAACCACAGCACTCATTTGACTCATCAACATATATTTTCTGAGAACATTATTATGTTCTATGCAACATGGTTAGTGGGGCTACAACAGAGAGAAAGACAAACACAGTCCCCGACTTCTGGGCTTCGCTCCCATGCAGAAGATCATGGAAAGTAACAATCCCTCAGTTCTCATTATTTATATTACATCTTAAAACTTACATTCAGTTCTGGACAGTTTATTTAAAAGAAACCAGAATCTGTCTGAAGAAGAAATAAAAGATGGAATTTGAAAGCATATCATAAGATAAATAATTGAAAGATATTAGAATGCTTAGCCTAGAAAAAGAGAATCCAAGGCAGGGACTTGATTGTGGCCCTCACAAATTTCAGGAGTTGCCAAATTCTATGTGTTTCTTAAGGGCAGAACTCAGATTAGTCTGTGGAAATTACAGAGACACATTCTTCATCCCAATAAAGTAAACGAAATTCCA